TGAAAAAGGCTCAGTTTTGTACCTCCAAACTGTGAGTTTTGTACCCCTTTGTACCCCCGAATTGTTGTACCCTCCAAAGGTTTTGCCTGAAAAAAATGAGAAGCGTTCTCTATAAGTATACAGGTATTGTAATCACTTCCCTATTTTTTCAAGGTGATCTGAAACCAAAGGCTTAGAAGTAGGGCTGTGTGTGGGTTTTTTAAATATCTGAATTTCAGAAACCCTAATAATCTGTAATCAGAATATCCAGGAACATTCTAGAAAAAACAAGAGATTCTGTATGTAGGCATCTATTCGAGAAAGTACGGTATTCATAAATTCCGATATCGGGAAAATATAACTTTTGAAAATAAAGAAACTCGGAAATTTCGGACACACGGAAAGTGGGAATTTCTGAAATTAGGAATTCAAATGTAAGATATAGTAAACAAAACCCAGGAGTTTGAGCCCCCGGCAGGGGCTCAAACCGACTGGTAATAACTGTCCAAAACATCATACTTGTAATCCATGCTTGTCCCGGGCCTTCGCCGGCCCTGAAATAGTTTCTTTCAGAATCAAAATTTTAAACCAACTAAATTGGATATGATAGAGCTCGACGAGTACTACAAAATGAAATTATTTGAAATACTGTACCTTGTCTGCGAACAAAGTTACAGGCCGTAAAGTGGCTTTTTTCGGACGTGCCGAGTCGGGCCGGTCAGAGCTTGCTTTTTTCGCTCTTTTTCGTCTTGTCGAGCTCTATCGTATCCAATTTAGTTGGTCTAAAAATTTTGATACTGAAAATAACTATGGCAGGACACGCGAAGGCCCGGGAAAGGCCCGGATTACAAGTGTTAGATTCGCCCTTCTAATACAGATTTAACGGCACTCACTAAATTTCCAATCTAAAAATTTTCAGCACACCGATGCGTTTGTCGATCCTGTCGATTAAAAAAATGCCTTCAAGTCGGATTACGAGAAAGTGCTATTAAAATGAGGGATTGTTTTGAACCTCGAAGCACAGCTTTTACAGAAACTACTACTAGTCCGGAAGTTATGTGTCCTAGCGGTAAACAATTGTTTTATCTTAAATAAATTTGAATTTCGATTTCCAGACAACCAACCCAGCGCGTTTCTAGCATCTTGGATTAAATTGCAATGGGAACAGCATAACCAACTCTTGCCATTTTTTGTAGCTTATGGCGCTAGGTATTTTGCAGTGATAATCAGGTATCCTTCTGTATTGAGAGGTCTTCGTGATCATTTTGACATCATTCATTTCCGAAGCCACATAATTATTCCCGGCGAAATCAGTTAACGGGTGGCCGGAAGAGATCAAGTAAAAAATTGGTTTTGTAGGTAAGCTGCGGAGGAGAGGAAAAGTTAATATAGTAACAACGTGATACATCTGAATATAGGTATCAATATAGGTCCTGTAGGCATGGTTCCAAAAGATATCAAAATTCTGTCAGCTGATAAAAAGCTTCCCAAAAAACATTTCATTAATATGTCTTAAGTTTAGCGTTTTTAAAAACAATATCTCTTAAAAACTAAATTAGCACATAATGAAAATATGGTGGCTTTCTATAAAAGAATTGTATTAAACACCAAGGCATTTGGAATTGTCTTTTTCCACGTTCTGTAAATACTACCAATGGCCACAAATATTTTCTGACATTACGCTAGTTTCAAATTTTAACGGCCTTTTAAAATGGGGATGATGATTATCCTACAATTCCAGAACTTCGCGAAATATTGCCGAAGAGCCACATCACAGGACGTCAACATAACGATGAAGTTGGCTCTAGAACAAGCAAATGAGTGGGGGTGATGGGCTGGAACCATTCATGAATTTACATATCGAAGTGAAGAAAAATATCCTATCAGAATACTTTTTGGCGTTTCTACTAATTGATTCGGCCTACAAAACTCTGCTTACAAAATTGACTCTGCTTACAAAACTGCACAAGAAAAAGATCAAGGAATCTGGCTACTTCCAAATGGGAGTTTTGTACATCCTGATTATTTTTTCGGACTACTTCCCCAAACAAATATTTATACGGAAGAAATCAAAACGAAGGCACAGTATGTTGTTGCTTGTATAAAACGTTTGATTATTAAATCTTTTCAGACTTCACTACGACTTTGTGTCCAACATATTGGAGGCAGTAGTACGGTCATTTCGAAAGTTGCAAATCGATGAGACAGAGTGTGCCGTGTTGAAAACGATTCTGATATTGAAGCGTAAGTCATAAAGATATCCAATAAGATGTTTTTTGCTCTCCATTGCAGCATCTTGCTCCGAACGAGCAGTGTATTCTGGCCAAGAGAGAGTTCTAGAAGGTCTCTATACAACTTGTATGAATGATTGAATGAATTACTGTATGATGAAGAATATCGAAACTGGAGTTGAACGATTTGGGGAAATTCTTCTGCTACTCAGCTTAATTCGACGTGGTGTCAAGAATATTTACAACCAGACAAGAGTTTCTGATTTATTCAGTTATATGAGATTTAATGATAGTGTTAAAGATATACTTTTATATTGAGGTAATCTTATAAATTGCTTTTTTACGATTTTCAAAAGTTATACCTAGATTTTGGGGTGGCCCTATACTTATGTTACACACTGTAAATTGAAAATTTAAAAATTCTTCTTGGAAGTGTCTTGTGAAGAGTTGAGAGTTCTTGCAACTCGAGAACCTGTCTTTGAAGCTTCCACAACAACGTCATGCTGGAATTTCAAAAATTCAAAATAATTAAAATATTTTAGTTTTAATATCTACCTTCTTTTTCTGGAAAAATCTCAAAACTGTTTCTCTATACTGTGAAGACATAGAGAAGCATATAAAGGCATGTGCGAATGAATGAACTGCCAGGAGACCTTTTGGCAGTTGGCGTAGCATGAAGAGAAGTTGACTGAAAATTATTCGAATTCAAATTATTTGGAAAATTCAGGAACAAACATCCGAAACCACATCCATGCATTATCCATCTCAAAAGGTCCATCCATTGCCAAGAATACAGCACTATAGGCAAATCCAGCAATCAGATAAGATGTTGACATTGCAACGACCAAGTTTAAAGTGTTATCAGGTCTAAAAGTGAAGTTTCAAATAAAAAAGTTTGGAAATCTGCTTATCAACTCACTTGTCAGTTCTCAGATTCTTGCGTCGGTTTTTGACTTTTTTCAATGCTACAATGAAAACAATAGTCAGAATTAAATATGTGATGTTTATAATCAAAGTGATATAGCCTTCACATGTGGTGAAAAATGCGGAATCTCTAGTGCTAGAGTGAAAGTAGCATCTGAAAAAATTATTGTATTATTATTGTATTAAAAAATTATTGTATTTTTCAACATTGACAAAGATATCCTTCCTGCTTCAGGGAATCTAACTTCTAAGTTCAGCTCAGATGTCATATTCACGCCGGAGAATATCGAGATATTACTATATAAACTGAAAGGCCGAAATAATACTTCTCCGGATAATATCCCGTCAATATTTCTGAAAAGAGCGTGTACTCCTCTTGCGATTCCACTATGCATTATATTCACAGAAAGTTATCGAGTTGGAAGAATACCAAAATCTTGGAAGGAGGCGATTGTTATGCCGCTTCATAAGAAAGGCTCCCGCTCCGATCCTTTAAATTATAGACCAATCTCTTTAACATCCAATATATGCAAGATTATGGAGAAGTTGATACGAAAACATCTAGTCCAATACTTATCCGAAAATAATCTATTATCAGAAAAACAATTCGGGTTCCTTAATCAGAGAAGTACAATTTCCCAACTGATCGCCTACCAGAACAAGCTTGTTTTCAATTCTTTAAATGGGTTAGATACCCATAGCGTCTATATTGATTTCCAGAGGGCCTTCGATACAGTGCCGATAAACAAATTGATTCATAAGTTGGAAAGCTTTGGGATATCTCCCAAACGAAGAAATTGGCTTCATTCATTTGTCACGGACAGAAAATTTCAAGTCAAAGTCAATGATATACTATCGAAGGAGAGGCGCGTATTGTCCGGAGTCCCGCAGGGCTCTGTTCTTAAGCCTACCCTCTTCTTGTTATATATTAATTGTATTGGGGACAAATTTCAAAGTGACTATCTACTGTTTGCAGATGACTTGAAAATTTATGATACGAATGATAGATTGATTGATGCAGATTTAATTGAATTGGAGAATTGGTGCTCGAAGTGGAAAATGAAAGCGGCTCCTAAAAAGTGCGAATACATCAAATTCAATGCAACAAGAAAATATGCCAACTCCAATGTTATGAATCCCAAATTAAATCAAGCTTTGATTCCCCCTGTGGAAAATGTACGTGATCTTGGGATCTACTTCTCCAGTAACCTGAGTTTCCATTATCATTATTCGTTGATTATTCGGAAATCACATCAGAGGATCAACATGTTCTTTTCCATTCTAAAAAACGCATCGTGGAGTGTTTTAATAAAATGCTATACAATTTACATACGCCCTTTACTCGAATATGGAACGATAGTCACTTCTCCAATCCTAAAGGATCATATTATAAAATTGGAATCGGTGCAAAAGTCATTTGTTTTCAGAATTTTCAAAAAATTCAGGATGGCATACACTTCATACTTTGAAGCACTGGAAGAATGTCAGCTAAGTTCCTTGGAGTATCGCAGGCTCTATAATGATTTGGTTTACACAAATAAAATTATTGTTTCCAAAGAAATTATCATGGAGGTTCCAATTTTCGAAATATTTATCATGCTGGATCATTGCGACATCACAAATACTATCTCAAATCACTTATCAAAAACTCAACAAAAATATCTTCTCAATTTCTCTCTAATAGAGTAATCAGATGCTGGAACTCTTTACCCGCCAAAGTGTTTCCGGTGAAGCCCTCGTCAGCGGCTTTCAAAAATCGACTATTATCCTGTGATCTAAAACATTTTCTTGTCTTGAATTCAACTAATTACTAACTCGGTTTTTCCTTCATCTCCCAATTATTACAAATGTATGTCCCTGTTATATTTCCTAGTTTCATAGACATTTCACGTGTTAGTGGTTTTCTCCCCTTCGTTGAAATAAAATAAATTAAATTAGAGTTTCAGAGTATGAAAACATTGAAAATTTTCAGAGAAATAATGTCGTTTACTCTAATGGAAGCCCACCCGCAATTTGAGCTTCATTATCTCGGTTATTTTGAGAAATATCAAAATTTTGACAACTGATGAAACATTTATCATGATATCATAAAGGTTTTATTACTTAACAGTTTTTTGATCTCAACCATAGGAACCAAGATAATTGAGCTCAAAGTGCACGTATAGGGTGGGTTTCTATTAATACGGGGGTCTCGAATTTTGACCTAGTTTATCTTGGTTCCTGTAAGAGGTATCAAAAATTCAACTGACGAAATATTTTGAATTTCATTATAAACATTCTGTAAGTTGAACACTTTTTGATAGATTTCAGAGCGAACGAGAAAAATTGGGTTAAAATTCAAGGGACCTTTTAATTGCAGGTCTTACAGTACTTACCCAGTGCCAACACCTGCAATGAGACTCCCACTTAAATAGAACTGAGCATACCATGCTCCACAAATAAAAATACAAATCGAAGTTATGAAAAATGCAGATTTCAATTTAGCCATTGTATTTGCCAATGAATTCATGGGATACATCACTGAAAAGGTCCGTAGAAAAGTCATGGCCAGTGCCAGAACAGCTGCACACAATCTTCCAAACTTTTGGATTCCTTCAGAATACCATAGCATTCCTTTAATCCACCATTGTTTTGAATTATCACGGAAACAATTCACATCGGGCCTGGCTTCATAGTCCTTGAACAGATATTCGAGCATACACGAGAAAAGGGCCAACATATCGCAAACACAAATCGCGATCATTATGAAAAACACAGTATTCCTTCGCAATTCTTTTCTGGTTAGAATAAAGAAGTGAACCGAATTTAAAACCAAACTGATATCAGTCACAACCTCTGTGAAAATTTCTGTATATTTTAAAATTGCTTCTGAAACATCGGCAGATAGTGTCAAACTGGAGTCAACACAGTGCAAACATTCACCGGTCCAGGGATAGAAAATTAAGGGCGCATAGGTGGTGGTGGTTTTGAGGGACATGGTAGATCTGGGCATTTTATTGGACTTGAAATGAGAATGTGAGTTTTGAAAAAACACTTTTTATTATGACATTTGTGTTTGGAAATTTGCCATTTCAATGTAATCATACATCCAAACACTAATATTATGTTGGCCCATGACGAATTCTGGAAAATTGAAAATGATTGCTTTGATTACTTTTTTGGACTTCTTGCCTACTGGCAAAAAGTTGAGTATAAAAAGTCAGATTTGTGACATTTGAAATTGCCAAAAGTTTGTACCAGTGCAACAACTTTGTTTATATTAAAGTAAGATATATTTAAAAGGACCCGTTTTTAGGACCCATCTTTTCTATGTAGTTTGTACTCTCTTTTAAACACCATCATACACTTTTGTTCCGTTATCTCCGCCAAGAAATCTTGGAAACGATATTTTGAGAAATCATGGTGGATCCTTGGTAGGGATTTTTGCAGATCAAGGACTTTGCAGATCAAGGACTTTCATACAAGTTGTATAGAGACCTTCTAGAACGTAGGGATGTTTTGAATGTTTCTATTCCACCCCAAAGTCCTTGATCTGCAAAAAATATGTTTATCTCGAAAAAATCTTTCTGCGGAATTCAGAATTGTGATTTGGTGAATTGGAGTTGGATTTGTTTATGTATTGAGGCCTTACTTGTTCGCCCTGCCTTTGTGTTTCTCCAAATTCGTCTTCTGATTTCTCAAAAATCTTCAGAATGTCATTTTTAAAACCAATTTTCAGGATTTTCGCTTTTGCGGAATTGTAACGAATTTGTAATTTTTCGTTTCTTAAATGATCCAGAAAATTATGGGAAAAAGGGAAATGGAAAAAAGAAAAATGAAGAAAAAAAGCAATTTATAAGATTATCTCAATATAAAAGTATATTTTTAACACTATCATTGAATCTCATATCACTAAATAAATCAGAAACTCTTGTATGATTGTAAATATTTTTGACACCACATCGAATAGAGCTGAGTAGCAGGAGAATTTCCCCAAATCGTTCAACTCCAGTTTCGATATTCTTCATCATACAGTAATTCATTAAATCATTCATACAAGTTGTATAGAGACCTTCTAGAACTCTCTCTTGGCCAGAATACACTGCTCGTTCGGAGCAAGATGCTGCAATGGAGAGCAAAAAACATCTTATTGGATATCTTTATGACTTACGCTTCAATATCAGAATCGTTTTCAACACGGCACACTCTGTCTCATCGATTTGCAACTTTCGAAATGACCGTACTACTGCCTCCAATATGTTGGACACAAAGTCGTAGTGAAGTCTGAAAAGATTTAATAATCAAACGTTTTATACAAGCAACAACATACTGTGCCTTCGTTTTGATTTCTTCCATATCAATATTTGCTTGGGGAAGTCCGAAAAAATAATCAGGATGTACAAAACTCCCATTTGGAAGAAGCCAGATTCCTTGATCTTTTTCTTGTGCAGTTTTGTAAGTAGAGTCAATTAGTAGAAACGCCAGAAAGTATTCTGATAGGACACTTTTCTTCACTTCGATACCTAGGTTTTTGAATGGTTCCAGCCCATCACCCCACTCATTTGCTTGCTCTAGAGCCAACTTCATCGTTATGTTGACGTCCTGTGCTGTGGCTCTTCGGCGGTATTTCAAGACATTCTGAAATTGCAAGTTAATCAACAACCTTATTTTTACAGAATAGATACCTGATTATCTCGGCGAAACGCGACGCTAGCGCCATGAATTGCGAAAAATGGCAAGTGTCGGTTATGCTGTTCCCCTTGCAATTTAACCCAAGATGTTAGGAATGTGCTGGGTTGGTTGTCTGGAAATTGAAATTCGAATTAACTCAAGATTAAAAATTGTTTACCGCCAAGGCATATAACTTCCGGACTAGCCGCAGTTTGTCTAGAAGACTTTTTTCTGGGTCCAAAACGATCCCTTATATGAATGGCATTTTTTCGTAATCCGACTTGAAGGCATTTTTCGAATCGACAGGATCGACAAACGCATCGGTGGGCTGAAATTATTTGGAAATTTATTGTTAGTGAATATTGAAAATCGGATTTAGAAGGGCGCCCTAACAGTCATGTTGTTGGGAGCCATGAGTTTTGTCATAATTATACTAGGTTGTTGTGTTTCCCAGTGGATCTTGACAATTTTCAGAAGTCTGGAGCTCGGTTGTCAAGTGTCTGATCCTTTTGAAAAGTTTGGAGGGTATAAAATAGACCTAGATTAAAAGCTTTACATTTACAGAATTTTTTGAAAATTCCTAGATTTTCAGATATTTGCCGAGTTCTAAAGGACACATGCTTTTTTCACATTTTCCGTACAAGGCAAGAAAAGTTATGGTTCTTAACAGTTATCATTCCGATAGTTATTATTCGTAGCAATTCTCACTCTTTGTACCACCAAACTCACGGTAAGAAATGATACAATTGTTTCCTCTCAAACATTTATAAATCATATTCATCACCACAGTTCTTCTAAAAAACACAGTACACCCTAGACATGCAGGTGCTCCGTATCTTTTAATTGTCGCACGGTCTCCACAGATGTGACAAATTTCTTCTAAAGTCGGCGATGGAGGCATTGAACTCGCAGAAGATTTGAACAGAACAAGGAAAGGGTCCTTTTCAGAACGTTGCATTTTGTGAGCGTCAAAGCAGACGATTGTTGTGGCATCGGGATTGAAAAGAGACTTTTAACCTATTGGAATCATGATTAAAAAAGAATTAGGATCGTTAAAGAAGTGGGCGGTGCTCCGGATTCCTGTGTGTAGTCTGGACGAACGTGGTGAACTACGGTTTGGGTAGAGTACAGCAAAAGGAAGCTGAAGAAAACATATGACCTGCGGACATTCAGGAAATCGAGAGATCGGAGATTGAAATCATGGATATCGAAATTCTCATGCTGGTTGTTAAAGAAGCTGCGTGATTCGTGCCCTACAGGTGCGGTGAGCGCATCAGGATTGGACCGGATGAAACAATATTCAAGATAACAAACATAACCAGTAATAAAAGAGCCTTTAATTTTGATTGTGTTTTGAAAAAAGATATCAAAATGATTGAACTGAATTAAACACATAACTTCCTTGAAATTCCGTTCATAGATTGAAAATATTGGGCACTCATAGTTAGAGTTGTGGACCTTTGAAAAGCATTGCCACCTTTGAGAACAGGAAAAACATAAATGTTCCCAAAAAAGAAATATTGTAGTCTCCCGACCTCAATTTTCAATATTATCAAAACCAAAATAGACGGGCATTATTTCGCTGCTATTTCGGGTTATCAGTAAAAATGTGGGAAATTTTGGCCCAGTGGGGAAATGTGGTTTCCGATTTGCATAGAAAAATGTAGAGGAAAACTTTTGATTTTCTTTTGAAGTGTAAAAATGCAGTTATTCTGCCTATCACCTTGAGAAGTTGAAGTTCGTGAGTCATGTGTTCGGTAACCCGCGCCGTTATCATCTGAGGGGCTTGGTACTGGCCAGTGTTAAGCGGAATTCCGTCTTCCGTCTTCCGTGAAGCGAAATTTTATTTCCGCTCAACACTGGTACTGGCCTAACTTTTATAGAGTTGGTAATCTAGGCTACAGGAAACCACTGGCGTTTATAGAAGGGCCATGAACCGGCATATTTCTCACACCTGGAAACTTCCTAATAACTTTTGACGTTCATTGAAGCGTATTTCACTTTTTTCGCTTGTGTGTACCTTGGTTTGGCTTTCCGTGTGTACATTGAGCGATACACACACACCCACAAATTGATCTACCTAAGGATCTTGAAAAGTGTCCGTCCAGAACAGAATACTTTTTAAAAGCGATATTTATCGAATCTTTTCCAGGAAAACAAGACCTCCATTTTAGTGAGGAACGGGGTACATACCCTGGACTCAAGATAATTATCTATGATTTGCACCTGAACTTGGGATCTTTCATTGGAAGAGGATAAACGTGTTCTGTGAACAAAGAGCTTTTCTCCTATTTAAATTTGAATTTGAAGCGTTGTTCAAATACAATGTTCTTCAGATCTAACGCCAGTCAGAAGCTTCTAGCTGTGGTCTTAATTCTCTCAGTGATCGCTTTCCTAACTCATATTGATCATTTTGTGAGTTCCGAAATTGTTAGCGATATTTCACAGCCGTTAACTTCAGGTGGCAGATTTAGAAAAGTTGGAGACTAGTCCAGAGTGTCAATGTATATCTAAAAGAACGGGAAAATCGCACAACTTTTGTTATCCGGTGCCGAGGAATCCCGGATGGTATGGAAGGAAATTCAATTGTTCGTTTGTAGAAACTTTAGAGAATTTGAGTGAGTTTGGCGGGAGTTCACCCTAACTGTCAACTTTGAACTCAATTATCTCAGTTTCTATGCGAGATATCAAAATTTCGTCAACTGAAAAAGCAATTTTGATATTATGATAAACACATTATCAGTTGACTACTTTTTGATATCTTTCACAGGAATCGAGATAAATGAGCCTAAAGTTGACGGTTTGGGTGTGCTTCTAACATAGCAAATAGGGAATTCTACCACTCATTTGTTCAGATCTTCTTGGTGATTCTGGTAACGTAATCACCCTCCAAGGAGCCATTTCCAACAAAGATGCCTTGGTATTCGTTTCTGCAACTTCCGAGGATCATTTCGGAATCTGCATGTGGTCTTATAAATCTGTTCGAAAATATTATCCTAACCATAAATACGTGCTTTTTGGTCTAAATATAAGCGAAAGCTCAATTGACAAACTCCCGAAGTCGGATCCTAATTTTGAGTTCCGAGGATTCGACGTGACTCTTTATCCGGAATATGTGACGAACTTCAAAAGAAACCATTTCAAAGGATTAGTTCTGGCAGAAGCTATGAGAGACTATCCGGTTCTTTTGTGGATAGACGCTTATATTAAGATGATTGAGCCAAATGTAATTGAGGATTTGTTCGAGGAAATTTCGGAAAATCGAATGTCTAAAAGATATTCCGAGTTGATCTCATTTGACGTTAATGGACACAACAATTATGCTGTATTGCATTCAGGTGAGCGAAAAAATGAATCTTAATCTTTGCTTATTGATTATTCAGGGCTCCTCCACTATTTCCCATTTCACTCTTTTGAACTCCTGAAAAACGAGCATCAACTTGGATCGGGTATCATTTTTGTACCAAGAACAAATTACAATAGAAGAATTATGAAGTGGTAGGTTCATGGACCTTGTTTGGTCTGGATTCTTTCCTATTTACAGGTGGGTGTTATGTTCGCTGACTGATGAATGTATAAACCCACCCGGGTCCAAACACTACCAACCTGTGCTGAACATTCTACTTCTGAACGACTTCCAAGACTATCACAAGTATTACATGAAGAAATTAGAGTCATCGTTCATTAAGATGGATTGGGAGAAACTAATGAGCATTGAAGGATATTCATTCGGGTTTTACGATATGATCTGAATATTGCTATAGAAAATATGAAATAATAATTTTTTGATTGCTTTTTTTTAGTTCATAGATTCCCAGCACGTTTTTTGGAAATTTGTGAATGAATAGTCTGAAAACAGCTGATTTAGACAGTTTACAGAAAAATTGATTCCTCTATTCAAGTTTTAGAAAATAATATTTTCAGACATTTTCGTCATTTTTTGGGTTTTTGGAATAAATCTTGAATAACTTTGCTCCAGGGTAACATTTTGAGCTGAAATTTATAGGAAATATCTTGCGAAAGCTCGTAGACATGTTGAAGACATTCTGGACGGCCAATGAACCCTGATGGAACAGCATACTTGTGCTCCGTATCTCTTAATTTTAGCACGGTCTCCACGAATTTGACAAATTTAATCTACAGTCGGCGGTTAAGGCATTGAACTCGCAGATGATTCAACAAAACAATAACATGGCCCTCTTCAGAAAGTTTCATTTCTTGACCGTAAAATCATGTGATCGACGTTGGGATTGAACTGAGACTATGATCGAACGCCTCTAGGATTGACAAAAAGTGGGCAGCGGGCACCGGATTTTCGTGTACAGTCTGGACGAACGTCATGAACTTTGGTTTCTGTAGACTACAGCTAAAGGAAGCTGAAGAAACAGATGAACTGCGGACATTGAGGAAAAAGTGAGATCGGAGATTGAAATCATGAAAATCGGAATTCCCACCTGGACCATGAAAGAAGGTGTCCGTAGAGTAACAATCACACATCCATGATTTCAATCTCCGATCTCAGGTTTTGCTGAATGTCCGCAGTTCATCTTTCTCTTCAGCTTCCTCTCGCTGCACTCTAAATAATTTTTCATCTTCTCGCTCGGGGAACTCAAAATCCAGCTTGAGTTCTTTCCTTAGAGCTTGAAATGGTCGGTTTTTTTTAAATTCCTCCTTTTCTTTTCATTTACATTCATAACAACTCGGCCGTCGGCTTGCAACTTCTGGCCAGAAAATTATCGTCAATTATGTACCAGCCAGAGTGGTTGTTAGCTACTGCTGGTATAAGGTCGTGCAATAGATTTATGGGTTTTTTTAAACCTATGGGCGCGACAGAAGTTGCCCACTGGTAGCTGTGGGGCGGACACTGGTCTTTTGACCAAAAGCAGACCCAGAGGATTGTCGGAAGTTTTTAGGAGAAATTCTTGTCAATTTTCGAATTCCGAATGCCGGTAGGATAAGACAGGTGAATTTTGTTTTCTAAAAAACTGGTTTTTTGAAAGTTTTGCTTCTAGGTCTCAAATAAACGACAACTGCATGTTAGAAAAACCGGAAGAAGATCAGGTATTTCCTAGATTAATATTTAATTTAACTCCTGATTCAGGTAGCTTAGCGATCTCAGAAATCCAAAAAGTTCATGATGTGAATTTTAAAACCGCAATAAAAATTATCCTAGATGAAAAGAAATTCAAAGTACTCTTTTTTTTCCTATTTTTCCTAAAAGAACCCATCTTTTCTATGTAGTTTACACTCTTTTTCAAACAGCCACACTCACTTTTATTCTGTTATCCCCGCCGAAAATCTTGAAAACGATCTTATGAGAAATCATAGAGGATCTTTGGTACGGATTTTTTGAATGCTTACATTTTCTACGCGGTCTTGAACATTTAAACTTTCCTTTGAGGCTACACCCAAAGTCCTAGATCTGCCATTGACACTCTGGACTAGTCTCCAACTTTTCTAAATCTGCCACCTGAAGTTAACGGCTGTGAAATATCGCTAACAATTTCGGAACTCACAAAATGATCAATATGAGTTAGGAAAGCGATCACTGAGAGAATTAAGACCACAGCTAGAATTCAAATTTAAATAGGAGAAAAGCTCTTCGTTCATAGAACACGTTTATCCTCTTCCGAAGAAAGATCCCAAGTTCAGGTGCAAATCATAGATAATTATCTTGAGTCCAGGGTATGTACCCCGTTCCTCACTAAAATGGAGGTCTTGTTTTCCTGGAAAAGATTCGATAAATATCGCTTTTAAAAAGTATTCTGTTCTGGACGGACACTTTTCAAGATCCTTAGGTAGATCAATTTGTGGGTGTGTGTGTATCGCTCAATGTACACACGGAAAGCCAAACCAAGGTACACACAAGCGAAAAAAGTGAAATACGCTTCAATGAACGTCAAAAGTTATTAGGAAGTTTCCAGGTGTGAGAAATATGCCGGTTCATGGCCCTTCTATAAACGCCAGTGGTTTCCCCACTAAAATGGAGGTCTTGTTTTCCTGGAAAAGATTCGATAAATATCGCTTTTAAAAAGTATTCTGTTCTGGACGGACACTTTTGTGAGCAATATTTATATTTATTTCTCTTTTCTGCAACCGCACGTCTCAGTGTATGCGTACATTGCGTTAAATCTTACGACAGTTGGTGTCAAAAAAGCGCGGAAGACATGAAAAAGTTAAGAAAATTTTACATTTTTTAGATTCTAACTTCATATGAGTCATAATACATTTCCAGATGAAAGTTTTTGATTTTTAAATTTTATCCAAAAAAAAATTAATTTTTAAAAATTAGATCACAGTTTCAGTTTTAATCAAGCTCAATTTCTACAAAAGATACCAAAAGTCTGTCAACTACAAAAATGTTTGTCATAATCAATACTTTTCTTGTTTGCACATTTTTATATCTCTTACAGATATCGAGAAAATCGAAATCGAAGTGAAGGATAGAGACCGTATCATAAAGATAAAATTGAATTCAGCATTGAAAATTAAACGGCAAACATTTCTTTGGCAATGGAAAACAACAATTTAGATCAATAAAATAAGTTAGTAAAAAGTGATACTATCAATCTCTGGGTTCCGGTTCCTCAAAACCACACGGTAATGGCCATTTTATCGAACCCCAGCGTGTCTTGAGAAAAGTGAAACACAAGCACCGATGTGTCGTTTTTTCTCATTTGGAACATTCTAATATCATTTTGCAACTCAAAGAAGTCAACTTGCGGTGCATGGGTCCGATTTGGATTAATGTCGAAATGTTCCAAATTCAAATCGGTCCCGAATGCATTGACTTGATCCCTGGGCCAGTCTGGAATTGCAGCACGGAGAACCAGGAACTCCGAATTTCCTTGTATAAGGAAGTTTCTGATATATTCGCTGTAGGATAGACTCTCGATGGATATGGATCGAGGATGGGAAATGTCCACAAGGCGAATGTGGGTACGCTGAAGAAGAAGAAAATTTTAGTATGCTATCATTCTGCATTTATAGAAAAGCATTGTTTCCTGGTTTTAGGATTTTTTGTTGTTTTTTTTGCACTAATTGGAAAACTCAAAGTCTTACCAATTTCTTCTCGTGTCTTTTCTCCAACATTTCTAGGATAAACTGTGATTGGTTACATTCCTTGATAACCAAATTTGGTGTATTCAACAATGGTTCCCAGTGAAGAATTTCGTCGTAATTTGTGATACATCCGGTTCCAATTTTTATTTCCGTCGGTTCACACTTGAAAAACTTTCGGACCCAATCCACAATTTCCAAGAATCCCGTCTGATATTTAGTCATGTACGGGTTCAAAATTGGATAATATCCTGATGGATTTCAAAGTATTGATTATGACAAACATTTTTGTAGTTGACAGACTTTTGGTATCTTTTGTAGAAATTGAGATAATTGAGCTTGATGAAAACTGAAACTGTGATCTAATTATTAAAAATTAATTTTTTTTGGATAAAATCTAAAAATCAAAAACTTTCATCTTGAAATGTATTATCACTCATATGAAGTTAGAATCTAAAAAATGTAAAATTTTCTTAACTTTTTCATGTCTTCCGCGCTTTTTTGACACCAACTGTCGTAAGATTAACGCAACGTACGCATACACTGAGACGTGCGGTTGCAGAAAAGAGAAATAAATATAAATATTGCTCACACTAAAACATGTTTTGTTTTCGTTGTTTTTCACCGTAATTGTTCAATTTTTTTCAGATAAAAAATGTCTATGTTCGCTCATATCAACTTTTCCAAATTTCCAGTCCCCACAGTAGGCCAAGCTTTCTGGAAATGCACGAAAATTGATGAATTGTGAGTTGAAATTTTGAATTTATTTTGAAACAGATATTCTTCTATTCCAGCTTAAACCTCGCTACAAATACTCCTCATACAGCATGGTTCCATAAAATTGCAGTTGCTCCAACCAAGTTCAGCGTCAATTTTGAAGCACCAAAGGAAGAACGTGGTCGAAACTATTGGGAAATTCAAATGGAATTCAAAGATCATGTTCCATTCGTTTGGAGATTCCAGTCGCATCCTGAATTGTTTGGTGGTGCGAAAATGAAGTTGAAGATTGGCGAGCACCAATTAATTTCAAGACTCTTGCCAGGAGATCATGAAGAATATTTTCCAATTTTGCACTCGTACATGACCAAATATCAGACAGGATTTCTGGAAATTGTGGATTGGTTGCGAAAGTTTTTCAAGTGTGAACCGACGGACATAAAAATTGGAACCGGACGTATCACAAATTACGACGAAATGATTCACTGGCAACCATTGTTGAATACGCCTAAATTGGTCATTAGTGAATGTAACAAATCGCAGTTTATCACAGAATTATTGGAGAGAAGAAATGAGAAGCACTTGGTAAGATTTTTTGAACTTTTTTCATTGAAAGCAAAATGTGGCCTAACTTTCGCAAGTTTAGTTTTCTAGGCCACCGTATTTTATGGTATAGAATAAGCCTAGCACACATCTGCAATGTTTTCTAGATCATTTTAACATGATGACCTAATTTTCGCATGTTGAGTTTTCTAGGCCGCCATGGCAAATGGTTCTGCTTTCAAGAAAGTTGTCGCACTAAATAATCCAATAAAAATGAAAATGGTTTTCTATTGATTGTTACCAAAATCACTATTTTTCAGCGTACCCACATTGACTTTGCGGAGATTCGGGATCCTCGATCCGTATCCATCGAAGGCATCTCCTCCCTAGATTATATCTCCGCCAGAATCAACTTTTCTCATCTTGATTCCAACTTTTTCACTGAACATATCAGAAACTTCCTTGGACAGGAACATCCGAAATTCCACATTTTCCGTGCTGAAATTCCAGACTGGACAAGGGATCAAGTCAATGCATTCCGGACCGATTTGAATTTGGAACATTTTGACACTAATCTAGATCAAACCCACAAATCTCGAGATCGGTTCAATGACTTGACGAATGATAGTCGAATGTTTCAAATGAAAAAAGACGAGAGATCAGTTTTCGTGTTTCACTTTTATCAAAACAAGACAAGCTTTGATAAAATGGCCATTGCCGTATGGTCGCTGAGACATTGACATTATCACTTTTTATGAATTGTTTTGCTTGATCTGATTTTTGTTTTTTTAATGCATAATAAATTGTTTTTTTTGTTATTTCCAATTTGAATTCAATAAATGTACTAAAAGGCCGTGCGCATCTTATAGTTTAGGCTCCGTCCACTTTTTCTCAGAAAATTTTTAACCCGGAAATGGGGAATAATTCTTCTAGAGAAATTATTTAGACCTGGGTGAATATTAACAGTAAGCAGTCAAATTTGACATTATCTAATTTTCCCGGTAAATGGTTGTTTTTTTTTCGCAAAAACCCAATAGAAATTTATTTCCAACTTGAAAATTGAGATTGCGGCTGAAAGCAGTTTTTTAGTTCGCCGAACTAGAAAGAAGCTCATTACGTTGTCTGTATGTAGTTCTGGTTTTGCCTAACAACTTTCAAAATCTGTCAGAGCAGGTTCTATCCCACCTGTTAAATCCCACCTGCTCCGTGTAGCTCTTTTTTTTGTGACCAAAAAAAGTTTTTTTTATTCCTGTCAGTTATGTTTGTACTAGATTTCACGGAGCCCAAATGGCTGATTCTGTATTACCATGTAATCGGTGTACTATCAATTAATTTGAACATTTTTTGCATCTATCTCCTACAATATCAGTGCAAACAACTCGAAAAGTTTCGATACTGGATCATTGCTTATCAGGTCGGCTGCTTTATCACAGATATCATTATCACTGTTTTAATGCAACCTGTCCCATTATACCCTTTACTGGCTTGTTATACAGTGGGGATACTATCCAGCTGGTTTGATATCCAACCTGTTTATTCTTGTTATATAGTGTGTGACTTTATTGCTGTGCAGTTTGTATTACTTGGTGTATCATTTGTCAAAAAACATCGTACTGTTAGTTCGCTAGCGGACTCTTTTGCTTTTCCAATACAATTTGATTATTTGATTTTCTTTTTTCTCATTTTTGGAATCGTTGTGGGAGATTTATTTGCCTACTCAGAGCGTCTTACAGAAGAAGAGCAATGGGAACTGATAAAGGAGGTATAACCAAGGCTGTCGAAAACAGGCGGACGGTTACGGCTCGGGTTGTGGGTAGTTTGAAGCGGAACCATCAACTTTTAGGGTCGCCAGGAATCCTACCTAGTCAAAAGTAGTCAACTTAGGATGCCTTAAGAATAAAAATAGTAGATTTTGTTGTAATAGACTGAAAGATAGTAGGTCTAGTAATCACAAATAGAGCTTCAATTTTGTAATTAATACCTTTTTCGTACCAATTAATCCAGATGAGATAAACCGATCGTAGCCAATCAAGTGCAGGAAATTCCAGAAACACAATTTTCAGGTCGTGCCGAACTATGTCGAAGGTTTTCGGTCTCTCCCAAACTTTGAAATCCTACCAAAAAGTCCGTTTCTCATTTACTCATTATTTTTTGTGCTTTTCCTTGGATTTCTGATTATTGTGATAGTTTTCCTTCTTATTCTAGACACTTTTCGAAAATTGCATCGATTGAAACGACAACTTGCTCCGAAGAACTATGAGAGACACGCACAAGGAGTCAGGTGCTTGGTGGTTCAAGTCGGGACGGCAGGTCTATCAATTTTTCCAATTATTTTGTTGGGTATTTCTGTCCTTTTCGAATTTCCACATTCACAATTGTTATCCGAATTTTGTATCGCCTGGTTTGCTACTCACTCCTCGTTTAATATGATTGCACTGTTGATATTTTTCCCGCCGTATAAGCTGTTCCTCCAGAAACACTTGTCTGGGTAAGTTAGGACTTTCCAGAGAGAGTAGAACAATACTATCTTTCAGATTAAAATCAAGAATAAATCAAGAGCGAACATCTGCAATCAGTTTCTAATGTTTTTTTTCTGTCCAGTGCTTGTAGGATTAGCTGCATTTAGATGTCTCAAAAACTGACAATATGTTCGTCTTATCCACTACACTTCTTACACAATTACTCTTTCTGATAAGAACGATGTCATTTAACATCCCCTTATCATGTAACCGGGGTAAGCTTCCCGCTCTTTTGTCTTTACATATTTCTTCAACTCCGTTACATCTTATTCTTGAATAAATTATATGAATGAAGCTTGTATTGGAGTTTAAAGAAAAGTTAGGGACCAAGGGTCAGATAGTCTATAAAGAAGGAAGTTGAGAACAATTCGCGAATTTTTGTCAAAGCAGGTTCAAGTTTTTCAATTCCACCTGCTCCGTTTCTGATTCTTTTTTACATACAAAAGTCTATTTCATTAGGTTTCTATCCTGCTAGCTATGTTTGAACTAGATTTTACTGAGCCCAAATGGCTGATTATCTATTACCATGTGATTGGTATTTTATCAATGATTTTAAACAGTTTTTGTATCTATCTCCTACAATATCAGTGCAAACAACTCGAAAAATTTCGGTACTGACTAATCGCTTATCAGGTCGGCTGCTTTATCACAGATATCTTTATGACTCTTTTGATGCAACTTGTCCCTATATACCCGCTACTTGGTTGAAAAATCTCAAGATCGGTTCAATGACTTGACAAATGATAGTCGAATGTTTCAAATGAAAAAAGACGAGAGATCAGTTTTCGTATTTCACTTTTGTCAAAACAAGACAAGCTTTGATAAAATGGCCATTGCCGTATGGTCGCTGAGACATTGACATTATCACTTTTTATGAATTTTTTTGCTTGATCTGATTTTTGTTTTTTTAATGCATAATAAATTGTTTTTTTTGTTATTTCCAATTTGAATTCAATAAATGTACTAAAAGGCCGTGCGCATCTTATAGTTTAGGCTCCGTCCACTTTTTCTCAGAAAATTTTTAACCCAGAAATGGAGATTAATTCTTTTAGAAAATCATTTAGACCTGGGTGAATATAACCAGTAAGCAGTCAAATTTGACATTATCTAATTTTCCCGGTAAATGATTGTTTTTTTTTCGCAAAAACCCAATAGAAATTTATTTCCAACTTGAAAATTGAGATTGCGGCTGAAAGCAGTTTTTCTAGTTTTTTAGTTCGCCGAACTAGTTCTGGTTTTGCCTAACAACTTTCAAAATCTGTCAGAGCAGGTTCTATCCCACCTGTTAAATCCCACCTGCTCCGTGTAGCTCTTTTTTTATGACCAAAAAAAGTTTTTTTATTCCTGTCAGTTATGTTTGTACTAGATTTCACGGAGCCCAAATGGCTGATTCTGTATTACCATGTAATCGGTGTACTATCAATTAATTTGAACATTTTTTGCATCTATCTCCTACAATATCAGTGCAAACAACTCAAAAAATTTCGGTACTGGCTAATCGCTTATCAGGTCGGCTGCTTTATCACAGATATCTTTATGACTCTTTTGATGCAACTTGTCCCTATATACCCGCTACTTGGTTGTTATACAGTTGGTATACTATCCAGCTGGTTTGCTATTCCACCCTTTCACTCTTGTTACATACTCATTGACTTTATCACTATGCAATATACATTACTTGTTGTTTTATTTATCAAAAAACATCGTACTGTTAGTTCTCTGGCTAATTCTTATGCTTTTCCATTACAATTTGATTATTTGATTTTCTTTATTGCCATCGTTGGAATCGTTTTGGCTGATTTGTTTGCCTATTCAGCGCGTCTAACCGAAGAAGAGCAATGGGAACTGATAAAAGAGGTATCACATAAATTACCTGCGAAAAGTAGCCAACATTTAGTCTAATGAAGCACAAGTTTGCTGATCACAACTAGAAATAGGTTAAGTTTGAAAAAAGTTGTGCGATTGACTTGCAGGTCGTTCCGAACTATGTCGAGGGCTTTCGATCTCTCCCAAACTTTGTCGTTATACCCAGAAGTCCGTATGTCCTTTACCCATTATTTTTTGTACTATTTATAGGAATTCTGGTGGTTGTATCAGTTTTCCTTCTTATTTTTGACACTTTTCGAAAAATGCATCGATTGAAACAAAAAGTTGCTCTGGTGAACTATCAGAGGCACGCACAGGGAGTCAGATTCTTAGTGGTCCAAGTCATAAAGGCCGGTTTATCAATGTTTCCGATTCTTATATTGGCTGTTTCTCTTTTATTTGCACTCCCAGATGCGCAAAAGACTGGCCAAATATATATTGCCTGTTTTACTGCTCACTCGTCGTTGAATATCATTGCACTATTGATATTTTTCCCACCGTTTAAACTATTCCTCAAAAAGAATTTGTTTGGGTGAGTTAGGAAAAAAGAATTCTCTGAAAAAACAACATTAAGTTTCAGATTAAAGTCGAAAATAGGGCAAGGGCGAGGATCTGCAACAAGTATCTAATTTTCTTTTTTGTTTATTATGATAGAGAATAAATATTTTTCAAAAAAAGGAAAATTATAAAGGAGGATAACGCAATACTGCTAGAGGCTGTCCGCTGTGTCCAGTGCTTGTAGGGTCAGCTGAATTATGAGAGTCGGCTGGTCTCAAAAATTGATAAATCTTATCCAGCCAATTTCGGAATGAGTCTGAAATTTGCTCTTGAAACATATGCCCCAAAAACCTCAAAACTCCAACTTTTGATAGCCATTCTGTAGTCTTTCACCACAAACATCACTATAGTTGAATCCAAGGCTGGATAAAGAGTAAACGCACAGAGTAGGACCCCAGTTGGCAAATCTATTTCCATATCGAACAACGGCAAATAAATAATGACCGAAATTGGGAAGAATAGAGTGACCGTTGGAGTTACAATTTGTAGAACAAGAGTTTTGAAAAATTGTCTGTGCAGTGTTCTTAACGATCTTGATAAGAGTTGTATTTTAGCTTCCATTTCGATGCACATCCGAATTGTGCAATAGGTAATCACCGAGAAATGGAAAAAAAGAATTGCTGTGTTATTTATAGTATTACACAAATTCCACCATCTGAGGGACCCATTCTCATCATAAGCCACTTGAGCTTGTCCAGCAATCTCCGAAAAATCAACACCGTACTTTTCAATCATATCTTTCCTGAGTTGTGAATACATAAATATATATGTACCCTGATTTTAACTTACTCTAAATATTTTATAGCATAATCATCAATTCTCTCAAAATAAAATAATCCCACAGCATACAGGATTCCGGAAGAAACAGCGTAAAAGACCCAAATGAAAAATCGGAGTCCTTTGAAATAAATCAAGTTGGTAGTGCTGAAAAAAACTACAGCTGATATTGCTTCAGATTAAAAGTTACTGAAAAATAGCCCAGTATCTGTATAGAAACTGAATGGCTAGAATTGAAACCGTTGATGCAAATACTCCTGCATAAAGTGCCATTAGCTTGGTGACTGACTCTTTTTCCAAGCCGAACGGGCGAGCCGTACTATAATAAATGTAGCCGGCATTATGAGAGTACACATTCTGAACTGACCAAAATTTATGATGCACTACTGAAACTACTTACCGGATACAGTACTACCTCGACTGTGGCAAAAAATACGCCAACTGCGGGGAAAAGTATCAAAAATTCTTGTAGCTTCCAAAGCTCCTGGTCACCCCAAACATGGTTAGATAGATCAAAAGGAATCCGAAAAATGTGCTGGAGACAAAACCGATTTGCGCCATTATTTGGGCGTATCCAACCCAATCCTTATAAGAAATCGGATTCTCAGAATTCATTAGGAACGAGTAGCGTGAAAAAAAACTAATATTCAGTTGATGTCTACTAATTTTTATACTAGAAGAACGGTACAAACATCTTTCTGTTCATCATACATCTAGTGTTTTCAAGACAGTATGATTCAAGAATACTTCTATTTCACATGACAGCGAGGTGGTGATGAGTAAACGGAAATGAGCCAAAGGTTGGCTGATCGTTGCATCTCGTGGAGTCTAGACAGTCTAGACAGTCTAGACAGTAGTTTTTATTGGCAGCAATATCGGAAATTAGAACTGTAGAAAAATATTTTCTGTTAATAACACCTGTAGAATATTCTTAACAACATTAATCTAGAATACTTGTCACATGACAGTTTTCTGTTCATCATACATCTAATGTAGAGTGTCGTCTCGCGAAACTTAGCTTCAGCAAACTGCGAGAAAGTTCAGCAACTCTCGCAAATGTCGGTCTCGTTCTGTTCTGTTCGGTTTTGCAAAAAGTTCAGCATTGTCTCGTTACATTAGTGTCTCGTTATTTCTTGTTACAGCGCTTTCTCGGTACAGCATTTTACAGCATTTTTTTATTTTTCGCAATTTCTTGCTGTATTCTCGCGAGAATATTTCACATTTACGTGAACAGACCGTGGCCTGGAAAACTCACCGTGTAGTTTACCAGGACAATGAATTTTGGCCTAACTTTCGATGAAATAATTTTCTCGGCCACCGTAGCGGATGGCTTAGAAATAATCTAACATTCAAACGATGTATTTTCCAAGACACCTACCATGGTAGCCTAATTTTCTCAGCATGAATTTTCTAGGCCAGCGTTTTTTTATGCCAAGAAATGGCCTGACATTCGCCTAATATTTTTTCTAGCCCAGTTACCATAATGACCTAGAAAACTCAACTTCCGAAAGTTAGGCCACCACGTCAAAATGGCCTAATAAACATACCAGGCGAATGTCAGGCTATTTTCAGGTCATTTTAACATGGTGGCTGTATTCTAGTGGCTGTATTCTAGTGTATTCTAGACAGTATGATTCTAGTATACGTTTATGTCACATGACAGCGAGTGGGTGATGAGCAAATGGAATTGAGTTGAAGGATCATGAAAAATGCTTTTTCTCGAAAAAAGCCCCTCGAGGAGTGTGGTGCTGCTCCGCTACCAGCTTAGCTACGGTTGTCTGGAAAAAGAGGGAAACTTGAAGTCAAGAATTGCTAACACGGATCGAAGAAAGGATAGTCCGGAAGAAGCTTCAGTGAAGTTTGTGACGTCTGTTTGTCTGAGACAACTAGTGAAAAAGATCCAAGGCATTTTTGAATGTATCTGAAAGCCAAACTATACCAGTTGGCTTGTTAAAATTGGCATTTCTTGGTGCCAGTCGCCTTCTTGGGTTCGGCGCGACCCGCCCATGTTTAAGAAGTTCCCTTAAAAACTCAACTTCAGCCCAATTGTCTACTGTACAGGAAAATTGAAACTAGCTAACTCTCTCTTTTTTTAAGGTGGCTTCAATTTAAAGAAGAATAAATACTTTTCACAGAAAAAATAGTCACAAATTAGGAACCCCCAATATTTCTAGAGGCTGTCCAGTGCTTGTAGGTGCATTAAGAGAATTATCTGATCTCAAAAACTGACAAATCTTATCGAGCCACTTTTGGAATGAACCTGAAAACTTGCTCAGAAAACATCTGACTTTAAAAACATACAATTCAAACTTTTGATAGCCTTCCTGTAGTCCTTTACGACATACATCACAATGATTGCATCCATGGCTGGATAGAGAGGGAATGCAGAGTAAAACCCCAGTTGGTACATCAATTTCCATATTGAATAGTGGCAAATAGATAATAAGCGAAATTGGAAAAAATAAGGTGACAGTTGGAGTGGCAATTTGTAGAACAAGAGTTTTGAAAAATTGTCTGTGCAATGTTCTCAACGACTCTGATAAGAGTTGTATTTTAGCTTCCATTTCGATGCACATCCGAATTGTGCAATATGTGATCACCGAGTATTGGAAAATACGATCCCTGTTATATTTATAGTACAAGAAATATTCCACCATCGAAGGGACCCATCCTCATTATAAGCCACTTGAGCTTGTTCCGCGATCTCAGAAAAATCGATACCGTATTTTTTCATCATATCTTCCCTGAGACACAGTTGAGATTTGAATAAAAAACTATCAACAACTTACTCTAAATATCTTCTAGTATAACCATCGATTCTCTCAAAATAATATAATCCCAACGCATACTGTATTCCAAAATATACAGCGTAAAAGACCCAAATGAAAAATCGGAATCCTTTGAAATATATTAAGTTGGAAGTGCTGAAAAACTACTATAATATTGTTTCAGACTCAAATTTACTGAAAAATAGCCCAATATCTGTATATAAACTGAACGGCTAGAATTGAAATTGTTGATGCATAAACTTCAGCATACAGTGCCAAGAGCTTAGTGATAGTCTTCTTTTGCAAACCGAACGGGCGATCCGTACTGTAGAAAATGTAAGTTATGGGAATACACATTCTGAAGGAACCTTCATAATTCATGATGTACCAAATAGTACTCACCGGATACAGTATTACTTCGATTGTGGCAAAAAATATACCCACTGCGGGGAATAGCGTCAAAAGGTACTTGTAGCTTCCAAAGTTTCTGGACACCCCAAACATGGTCAGGTAGATCAAAATGAATCCAGAAAATGTGCTTGACACAAAACCGATTTGAGCCATTATTTGGGCGTATCCAACCCAATGCTTATAAGAAATCGGCTTCTCAGCTCTCATTACGAGATAAAAACTAAAATTCAGGTGATGCCTTCTAGTTTTTAAAGACTGGGTAGCGATACCAGAAGTTAAACGAGAATTGTAATTTGTTTATTGAGAACGGTACAAAACACATTTTTCGTTAATAACACTTCTAGAATGTTCTACAAAGTGTGTTTTAATATACTATTATTTCACATGACAGCGAGGTGGCGATGAGCAAATGAAAATTAGCTAACCCTAGCAAGAGAAAAAAAGAAAATACAAAGTCAAGAGTTAAGAACACGGATTGAAGCAAGAGGTAGTCCATTAGTTTCTTCAGAGGGGTTGGTGATGTCTGCTGCCGGTCTGAGACTGCTAGTGAAAACATCAAAGGCATTTTTAAACATTTCTGAAAATGGAAAAATGCATGAGGGTCTACATATTATACATATCTCCTACTTTTGATTTCCATGCTATAGTCCTTCACAACATACATCACAATGATTGCATCCATGGCTGGATATAGAGTAAAAGCACAAAGAAATATGCCAGTTGGCACATCAAGTTCCAGGTCAAGGATAGGCAGATAAATAATGATCAAAACAGGAAAGAGCAAAATGACCGTTGGAGTAGCAATTTGTAAAACAAGAGTTTTGAAAAATTGCTTGTGCAAGTTTCTCAAAGACTCTGAGACCAGTTCCAGTTTTGCTTCCATTTCAAGACACATTCGAATGGTACAATATGTGATCACAGTATATTGAAAAAACAATATTCCAGTTATATTTATTGTACATCCCATGTTCCACCATCTTACAGAACCATCTGGATCATAGGCGACTAAAGCCATTCCGGAGATATCCGAAAAATGAACACCGTATTTTTTCAGCATGTCTTCCCTGATATCATTTTATCATAGTAATTTTTCGATTTATTAACTCACTCCAGATAACTTCTGGTAAAGCTATCAACGCGTTCAAAATAGTACAATCCCATTCCATATTGGATACCGAAAAATAGCGAGTAGACAATCCATATGAGAAATTTGGGTCCTTTGAAGAACCGAAGATTTATCGGGCTAAATTTATGCATTATTCTGACCTACTTGAAATTTCCTACAAAACTAGCTAAAAATCATTTTTATGGGTCAATTTTGAAGCAAGCTATGCACATTTGAAGTTTGCGAGAGCGCAGAGAAACGAGAGTGCCTGCGTCTCTCACCTTCAAACTTCAGAAACTGTATCTCTGCTTAAAGTGGTTCGTTTTGAGGGATTTTCAGTTTGTTTCAAAGAGAAAAACAAGATAAATTAGATGAAAAATGTTTAATTATGTTTTCAAACCCGAACCAACTGAGCTACGCGGTTGTGCATATGAAATAGGGGGATCTATAAACCCCAAAAGTATCTTACCTAACAATCGCCCAATATCTGTATACAAACTGTACAGCCAAAATGGAAATTGTTGATGCGTAAACGCCGGTGTAAAACGCGAGTAGCCAGGTTACGATTTCTTTCTTGAGACCAAAAGGACGATGGGTAGTGTAAAAAATATGACCAGCGTTATGAGAATAGACATTCTGAAATCGAGACCTATACATCATACATTCAGATTCCATACCGGGTAAATCACCACCTCAACTGTAGCAAAAAATATTCCAACCGCGGGAAACAATATAAGAAGATACTTGTAGCTTCCAAAGTTTCTGGTCACCCCAAACATCGTTAGGTGGATCACAACCAATCCGAATATTAGGCTCGAGACAAAACCGATTTGTGCCATGGATTCGGCGATTTTCACCCAGTGCTTATAGATATTTATTGGACAAGCGTGTGGGGAATGTTAGCACTAGATCAACTTTTATATAGGCTAAGTGTTTTTAAAGAGAAATATGTACCGGAAATTGGAACTATAGTTTTTGTTTCTAAGAAAATGATTTTTAGGCAAAGAAAAAAACCTTTCAGTGCCAAAAACAACCGGAAGCTTTCGAAAGCAAGGCAAAATAGGTTATGTTGATTGGTTTTATGGTAAAAACTTTATATAGTACATACAAGACATGATCATAGAGTGCAGGACATTTCAGACGCGCACATGACAGACGGATTTGCCCTAGGTTTACTGGGGAACGCCTCCTGCAACATCCCTTGAAAGAAAGGAGTCATGAGGTTTTTCGGAGTTATTTTTTGGGTTACGGTATGCACTTTGCCGTGACGATGAACAATGGTAGGGGTTCACCCTGGCTATCAGACCGGTTTCAATGTATAACATCGTTCGGCCTACATAGCTTACGCCATTGTAGATCAGCTGGTTCAGACGTAGTTCAGACGGTGGTCCCATAAGTTTGGTCATGACCGGTCATGTGTCATGTGAAAGGAAAGTATTCTTGAATCATACTTTCTAGAATCTTTTAGATATTTGATTAACACAAAACAAGGTTTGTACCGCTCTTCAATTTCCGGATCCGCTACCAACTTATATTATAAAAAACAAAGCACATCAACTGAATATTAGTTTTTTTTCACATAACTTGGATCTGATGACACCTGCGAAGACGATTTCTTATAAGCATTGGGTGGAATACGCCCGAACTATGGCGCAAGTCGGTTTTGTGTCAAGCTCATTTTTTGGATTCATTTTGATCTATCTAACCATGTTTGGGGTGTCCAGAAACTTTGGAAGCTACAAGTACCTTTTGACGCTATTCCCCGCAGTGGGTATATTTTTTGCCACAATCGAAGTAATACTGTATCCGGTAAGTACTCTTATTAATACATCGTGAATTATGTAGATCCCTTCAGAACATGTACTCTCATAACTCCGCCTACATTTTCTACAGTACGGATCGCCCGTTCGGCTTGCAAAAAGAGACAATCACCAAGCTCTTGGCTCTTTATGCTGGAGTTTATGCATCAACGATTTCGATTCTAGCCGTTCAGTTTATATACAGATACTGGGCTATTTTCCAGTTATTTTGAGTCTGAAGCAATATTACAGTATTTTTTTCAGCACAACCAAATTGATATACTTTAAAGGTTTCAAGTTTTTCATCTGGGTCTTTTACGCTGTTTATTTTGGAATCCAGTACGGGTTTGGTTTATATTATTTTGAGAGAATCGATGCGTATACTAGAAGGTATTTAGAGTAAGTTAATATTAGTGTACATATATGTATATTCATCTCTATCTTAGGGAAGATATGATGAACAAATACGGTGTCGATTTTTTCGAGATCGCTGGTCAAGCTCAAGTGGCTTATGATGAGAATGGGTCCCCCCGATGGTGGAATATATATTGTACTATAAATGTATCAGTGATAGTATTTTTCCAATATTCGGTGATTACCTATTGCACAGCTCGGATGTATATTGAAATGGAATCTAAATTACAACTCTTATCAGAGTCGTTGAGAACATTGCACAGACAATTTTTCAAAACTCTTGTTCTACAAATTGCAACACCAACAATCACTCTATTCATCCCAATTTCCCTTATTATCTATTTGCCGTTGTTCGATATGGAAATCGATTTGCCAACTGGAATCTTACTCTGCGGTTTCACTGTCTATCCAGCTATGGACGCCATTATAGTGATGTATATCGTAAAAGACTACAGAATCGCTATTCAGAGTTCAAATTATATGTTTTTGGGAAAGAAATTTCAAGAGAAAGTTTCAGATTCATTCCGAAAATGGCTGGATAAAATTTATCAGCTTTTGAGACCAGCGGACTCTTTTAATGCAGCTGACCCTACAACCACTGAACAACCTCTTTCAGTATTGAGAGTTCCTAATTTGTGATCATTTTTCTGTGAAAAATATTTATTCTCCTTCATAATGAAGCCTCCGCACAAAAGTAATTGATAGAAACGTATTCCATGCCCCTTTAAGAATTGTAAAAACCTTTAAAATTTGTCAGTTTAGAATCGATCTCGATTTTCAAATCTTTTCCCCCTGTCTCAAGCTTCCTGGAAATTTGTATCGTCTGTACTTCATTTCCTTTGATCTTATCGTAGGCGCACTACGCATACGAAATTTTTCAGCAAATCAAACATCTCCAATCTTTTGAATTTTCCGAAAAACAACACCACATGTCTGATGAGATGGATAGATAATGAAAATCATTTTCATTTCAAGAAGACTTTTTAGTTTTTACAAAGCTGTCCCATTTTAATGAAACATTCACCCACTCGGGGGGCAATTCACTCGCCCGCGGCCCCCCGGCGTCCCCCGCGAATATTTACGTGAAGAAAATGTTATATTTTTTTTGGTGTTTTTTGATTTCAGAAACTTTTTTTTGGAAAATACGTGGTTATCATTAAAAATTAGATAAAAATTCACACACACACACATAATCGCGGGGGGCCGCGGGTGATAGCCCCCGCCTGGTGACGGGTGGACCCTTTTTCCACCCGCCCAAATGGAAACCCTAGTCCGGAGTCCGGATTTTTCTTTTTTTCTGCCTTGGCTGGAATTTCGAAAATCAGCAAATCTATTTTTCATAATAAAGTCAGATTGTCCTCATAAGTTCTTGAGTAATATTTCTCAAAATGGGGTTGCATAGCTTCAGACCAGCTGAAGTTAGATGACCGGTGTTGTCGACATATGATATTGATTCTTCTTCATCAAAAGTTAGATATTTGTCGCCATAGAGAAATGCAGACGTTAATTCGAATACCTGAGAATCTGGAGATCTCTGGAGAGAACGGGAATCCGTTAGGTGTAACTCACCTCACAGTTTTCACACTTCACCATACTAAATCGTTTTCTCACAATCTTCATTTCATTTTCAGCCGCCCATCGATTCATATGAAGAGTTTCCGGAATCTCCGGTCGATTTATAAGATTTTGTAAGAAGAAATCAACGAATGAGTGTTGGTAAAGTGGGTGGGCGCCTAGGATGTAGATTTTCTTCACGAATTTCTCATAGTATTTGAGATTCTCATTCATTTTCTCAATATCGCGTTTGTTATGCTCAATGGGATCTTTCATAGGAGGTGAGTGTCTGAAAATTTGAATTTAATTGAATTTAATTTTGAAAGTTTTTTTTTTTTCTTGAAGATCCGCAGAATACGTCTTGTTCCAGAATATGTGATTTCGGACACTGTATTGCAAGAAGGTTTATAGTTACTATTAAGACACCAAATGAGTTGTTGGGGATAAAATCAGTAAACCAATTTTCAGAGTCACAAAATTCAGATGACAAAGAGGAGAATGTCCAGAAGGATTCGTAGTATTGGAAATAGCATCCAACAACACCGTATGATATGGTACATTTGATAATAGCGATAATCCAAATTATCATCGTGACGTTGAGAGTGAAAAAATTAGTGAAGATTCTCTTGTAATACAGTGGAAAGCATACAGCACACAATCGGTTGAAAGCCAGGAATAAATGTAACATAATCGACAAACTGGACATTGTTGTAGCAACTATACCAACATAATGAGAGTAGGCGATGAAGCTAATTGCCAATCTGAATAGTCATCTTAGTAACGATATCACCATGCTCTTACTCTAACTGCCATGGAAACGCAAAGAAAATAAATATAAAACAAAGGATCGTAGTGGAAACTGCTTGGTTTTTTGTAATAATACCAAAGGAGCTGTTCATGGAAGGTAGCTTTTTTGCAGCATACAAAAAAAGAATATTTGTTATGAGAATATTTGTTATAATCGTAAAAATCTGAGCTTCAGAATATAAAAAACGAAACGTTAAAATTGAACATACAGTATTGTGATAATTGCAGCAGCAAACTGCATTATGAAGTCAAATGTATGCACAAGTGTTAGGTCAGTATGACTGAAAAAAGGGAATCTAAATTTCATAGAAAATATCTTACTATTAGAAAAAAAAATCGAGACGAATGTGTTGATAAGTTTGAAGGAAACGTTTCCGTTTTGTTCTAGAGCTGTACTTCGGAGCATAGTTGCAAGCGGGCCGGCCCGGGCAGATAACTTGTCTCCAAAACGAGATATCCAGACAGGTTTGGTACCAAATGATATGTCTCGACAGGGCCCATCACGTCTATATCATTTCAGCCGGATTCCTGTCCATTAACATGCCTTTTTTTCTAACTTGAGAAAGAAACAGTCTGCCGGTTGACTTTTTATCAGCTAAATGTTGTGAGTATAATTACCGGCAAGTAATCTTTTGAGACCTATTTGCAGACATCCAAAATATTTCACCTGCTAAGTTATATAAAAAACTGTTCTTACATTCACCAAGATAAATAAACAGATTCTAGAAAACTTTCGATATTATTTTGATACACAATCATAACAATTTTACTTCAACCGGCTGAAAAACAGAATACTACTTCCAAAAAATAGGTCACCAATCAGAAAAATTCAGATACATCCTGACTAATGACTACTTGTAAAATAGTGTGCCGGAAATTGAACGGGTACAAAGAAGAAAACTTTGAATATATAATATTTTTGGTCAAAAAGTAGTTTCAGGGGCAAATTATTCCAACAGGACGACCGTGGTCCCATCTATCCGACCATGGCTCTATCAACTTTGCCAAGGTCCCATTCCTACGGATACTAAGATTCTGATTCAGAAAAGACTGTGATTGGAAGAATAGGACCATTGCAAGGTTGATAGGGCCATGATGGGAGGGATAGAAACGGAGGTATCTTCGGGACCAACGGTCCCATCATGGGACCGACAGTCTCAACTTGGAAGCTGTCTTCTGCAATACACCTAAAATAAGAACATATTTGATTTTTTCCATCATGCAGATTACGATCGGCTCCCGCGAGATGAAAAGGTCTTCAGAGCATCTGAAAAAAACATCCCATATTCGCAAACCCAAATCACCGAAACGCACTCTGAAAAGCTTTCCTGTAGTCCGTGACCACAAACATCAAAATGAATGCGTCGATTGCTGGATAGAGAGTGAGTCCAGAGAGGATAAATCCGGTTTGAACACTGGTCTCGAGATCAAAGTAGGGCAAAGTCATGATAAAAGCAATTGGTGAAAAAGAAATAAGTTGGAGTTGTGATCTGAAGTGAGGTTATTGAACAGTGTGGAAATGTTCATGATGTAACTGTACCCACCTGTAGCACTAGACTCTTGAAAACCTGTCGATGAAATGTATTCATTGTCGCAGAGAGCATATTGATTTTTTCCTCCATATCATTGTATAACCGATATCCACAGTATATCATGATACCATACTGTACCATCATGATGAATGTCATATTGATGGTGCACATCACACAACTCCAACGGATCAAATAGTCACTTGTGGTTGCGTTTCGGATTTCTTCCTAATGAAGATATGTATTGAAATTCATTATCTATAGCTTACGTAAACGAGATGTATCATACAAGGAACATCTGTGATGTCATGTCCATAAATATCTCTTAATTCCTGTCGCATGTACTCTCGAGAATAGTCATTGAACTTGTAGAAGCCGATACCCCATTCGAAACCAAACCATGTGCCATACAGTAACCACATAATAAAATACCAACGATTGAAATACTTGAGACGAGGCTTATCAAACACCGCAAAGTATCTGTAAATGAATTGAACGGCGAGCAATGCGATTGTTGTTGAGTAAATTCCGGTGTAAACGGCAAGTAACACAACAAGGAGTTCGTTTGAAGCGTTTAGTAAGTGATTAGTGGGGAAGAATATGTAACCGGCGTTGTGGGAGTGAAGAACCTAGAATTTTGAGTGTATAGTCTCAAATGCGATACGAAGAAGAACTTTTTTTATTAATTACCTATACTGGTACAAAGAAAAAACCATTTATAATAAAAGATTTTTTGGGCAATATGTGGTTTCCTTTATCATGGGCCATGATCACGATCGGCTCGCACGAGTGGAAAAAGTCTTCGCAGCATCTGAATGAAATGCTCGATTTTTTTTCAAATCCAAACAAAACGCACTTTGAAAAGCTTTCCTGTAGTCCGTAACCACATACATCAAAATGAAGGCGTCGAGTGCGGGGTAGAGAGCTAATCCAGAAAGGAATACTCCGGTTGGAACACTGATCTCGAGATCAAAGTAGGGCAAAGTCATGATAAACGCAATTGGTGAAAAAAGAACAATAGTGGGAGTTGTGATCTGAAAAAAAGCCATTGGACAAGTGCTTAAATGTTTTAGGTGTACCTGTAAAAACAGGGTCTTGAAAATTTGTCGATGAAATTTCTTCATTGTCGCAGAAAGCATACTGATTTTCTCCTCCATATCGTTGTATAGCCGATAGCCACAATATATCATAATACCATACTGTACCATCATGATGAATGCATTGTTGATGGTGCAAATCACACAACGCCAACGGATCAAGTAGTCGATTGTGGAACCGTTTGTAGAAATGTCTTCCTAAAGCACCTAGAGGTTTTTGAAATTCTCATTCTTGAGCTTACGTAAACGACATGTATCATACAAGGAACATCTGTGATGTCATGTCCATAGACATCTCTCATTTCTCGACGCATGTACTCTCGAGAATAGTCATCGGCTTCATTGAACTTATAGATACCAACACCCCCTTCGAAACCAAACCATGTGTCATACAGTATCCACATAATAAAATACCAACGATTGAAATACTTGAGACGAGGCTTATCAAAGACTGCAAAGTATCTGTAGACATATTGAACGGCGAGCAAGGAAATAGTGGTGGAGTAAAGTCCGGTGAAGACTGCGAGCAGGACAACGAGGAGTTCGTTTGAAGCTTTTAGTGGGCGATTTGTGGTGAAGAATATGTAGCCGGCTTTGTGATAGTGAAGAATCTAGAGTTTTGACAATAAAATCTTGCAGGAGGAGAGACAGTAGATTTTTAATTTTTTTTTGAAACTATGGTATGCATTTTAATAGGACGATGTACAGTAGCATTAGTGAGTGTCACTCTATACTTTCGTTCATAACTTTGCTCAAAACTTTTCCAATAATCGAAAACTTTTTTGTTAAATGTAGCTGAATTTCCAACAATATATGAGTTTTTTGAAACTCAATCAATTTTTGTTGCTTCTGAATCTTCACAGACGTGACGATGACTCCAGAAGAAAAAAAAATTTCTGTCAGAATTATTTAAAAGATTGCCTTTGTAATAAAAAAATGTTTGCTGTAGATCAAATATGTACGAAAAAAATTTGAAGCGGTTTGGAGCACTTGCTCTTGAGATGTGTTCACTGGAGCATAAAAGGTATGGTTCAGGAGTTTGGCTATAACTCGGTTCAAAATGATCCAAATTTGCTCAAATTTCGAAAGAATGTGTGTCCATAATTTTTCTACAATATACGTACAAAACTTTGTTTCTTGGGAAAAAACCTTTCATAATTTTTTTTCACTGATTTTTTCGTATTCAATTTTCAAATTTTTTTTCCAAATTTCGTGACACTTTGATTTTTTAAAAACGTAAATGACCCGTTAGAAACAAGCAGCGGTAAATTTTTCAGTGTTTCCATGAATGTGGTACATAAAAAAAAATTATGAAAAAAAATTTTCCAAAATACAAAGTTTTAAATTTATGTTGTAGAGCAATTAAGGACACACATTCTCTCAAAATTTGAGCAAATTTGGATCATTTTGAGCCGAGTTATAGCAAAACTCGTGAACCATCCCCTCTATGCTCCCAGTGAGCACATCTCAAGAGCAAGTGTTCCAAACCGCTTCAAATTTTTTCTGTCTATATTTGATCTACACCAAACATTTTTCATCACAAAGCCAATCTTTAAAAACATTCTGACGGAAAATTTGTTTTTTGTTCTGGAGTCATCGTCACGTCTGTGAAGATTCAGACGAAACAAAAATTGATTGAGTTTCAAAAATTTATATAATGTTTGCGACTGTACAATGGTTAATGGTCACACACAATTGTACCTATTTATGTTCAATTTCTGCTATCGTAGCTCAGCTGTTGCGACGTGGGAGTTCGAATGTTGGGTTCACAAGTTAAACCCCACAAGGGTCTTTTTTGACCGAAATTCAACCTACCGGGTATAGCATAAACTCCAAACTGGCAAACGCAAGCCCAACTCCGGAGAACAGTAGGATCAGGTACTTGTACGCTCCAAAATTTTTTCGCAGAAAAAACAAGGTCAAGGTAATCAGCGTGAATTGGGATGTAGTTGTCAAATAGAATCCGATTTGTGCAATCGTCTGATCAATCATAAACCAGTCGACCATTTTGCTTTTAAGAAATGGCTTCGAATATTTCAGCTGTAAGAGAAGAGTACCGTAGTTAGGAAGGAAATTGATAGCTGTTATTGTTTTTATTATTTTTATTATGCCGGAAATTGAAGAGGAGGGAACTGGTACGAAGAATAACAATTCTTATTATATAGTTAATTTTTTAGACAAAAGGACGTATTATGGGAAGGACATGATATAGTTTGGACGTTGGTCTTGATGTTAAAGTCGATGGACCATTGTTATACACTGCGTAACATAATTATAAGTTCACTTTAAATTTTGAATTTTTTCGAAAACTGTGGATATGGACTGAACAGGATATGATTGAAGTAAATACTAATTCGGATTGTCAATTAATGAATACCATTTGAGACCGCTACCATTTCTTCAATTTGGCAAAATTGAAAAAGTCGAAAAAATGGCCCGAAAAAACGTCACATAAGTATAAGTTCACTTGAAACAATGAAAGATAACTCAAAACACAGATTTTAAAATGTAATGAAAATACAAAATATAGCAAAAAGGGATCAAAATGCATTCATTAATGTGAAAAATTTGATTGTATCTATACTCAAAATTGGGCCACATCCGTTTTTGACAAACTGTACTGAAAATGAAGTTTTTCGTTAATAAAAAATCTGAAAATACTGACGGGTCTAAATTTTTTAGTTTCGCAGAACTATTCACAATTGTTTTACTCTGTCAACTGTCAAACACAATAAGATCATTCCACAAACCAGGAAAAATTTCTAATTTTAGCTCATTTTTACCACTATGTTCTGAGTGGTACTGCGTCTTTCTAGGTAGGCACCTGATTGAGCTGATTAGCATATGAGGAAGGCAATTATGTGTTCATACAGGAACTAAACTATGAAAATCTGTATTTTTAAACTATTAAACTGTGAAAATCTGTATTTTGAATTCCTGGAACCATGCAACATTTCTGACAGACATAATTTCAAGCATAAAAATATGCTATGCGGAAACCATGTTTACGGTGTTGTTTAGTAAGGAAGGAGTCACGCATTCTAAATTTTCTTCTTGTAATCATACTTGAATTTACACATAGAAAATTTAGATTGTTCAAAAAGTTCCGCTCTACACATACAATAAACCTTTAAAAATGTCATTTTTTGCAAAAGCTACCAATTTTTAAGCGCATACTACCCCCAGAATCCATTCCTTTGATCTCAAAGTTGCTGAAAACATTGGAAATGTCCAAGTTTATGTTTTTGTAGTTGATGTCCCTTTCCAAAACATTCATTGTGGAAAGATATACAGTACCGTAGAAAAGGATGTAAACGTAAGGCTTTTCGTTTGATTTTTCCCCTCAAAGTGGACCTATCGGAATTTCTGAATCACTTTGAACATTCTGTCATCCATGCTCAATACGAGACTGTATGTGCAACAATCATTTTGAATCAAAACATACAAAAAAAAGTATCGAAAACTTAAAAATCTAACGAAATAGTGGCATGTATTCCAAAATCAGTCCTTTGCACTTCGATGGATACACAATTTCTGGAGAAGTAACGCGGATGATCGAATTTGCCGTTTTCACCAATATTAAGACATTTCGTAGCAATATGTTTATTGTAAACACACAAAAAACCAATTTCCCAATTTTGTAGATTTTTGAAAAAAAAAGTTTTTTTTTTGAAATTTTGGAGAACCAAAAAAAAGTTCTAGAATATTTTTTTCTTGAGATTTTTTGATGAGATTCAGCATAAGTATTTATGCATATGCAGACATAATATTTGAAAAGTTTCATACCGACATGTCTACTTTGAGGGGAAAAATCGAACGAAAAGCCTTACGTTTACATCCTTTTATACGGTACTGTATATCTTTCCACAATGAATGTTTTGGAAAGGGACATCAACTACAAAAACATAAATTTGGACATTTCCAATGTTTTCAGCAACTTTGAGATCAATGGAATGGATTCTGGGGGTAGTATGCGAGCTTAAAAATTGGTAGATTTTGCAAAAAATGTCATTTTTAAAGGTTTATTGTATGTGTAGAGTCGAACTTTTTGAACAATCTAAATTTTCTATGTGTAAATTCAAAAGGTGGCAAGTATGATTACAAGAAGAAAATTTAGAATGCGTGACTCCTTCCTTACTAAACAACACCGTAAACATGGCTTCCGCATAGCATATTTTTATGCTTGAAATTATGTCTGTCAGAAATGTTGCATGGTTCCAGGAATCCAAAATACAGATTTTCATAGTTTAATGTATGTTCCTGTATGAACACATAATTGGCTTCCTCATATGCTAATCAGCTCAATCAGGTGCCTACCTAGAAAGACGCAGTACCACTCAGAACATAGTGGTAAAAATGAGCTAAAATTAGAAATTTTTCCTGGTTTGTGGAATGATCTTATTGTGTTTGACAGTTGACAGAGTAAAACAATTGTGAATAGTTCTGCGAAACTAAAAAATTTAGACCCGTCAGTATTTTCAGATTTTTTATTAACGAAAAACTTCATTTTCAGTACATGTTTGTCAAAAACGGATGTGGCCCAATTTTGAGTATAGATACAATCAAATTTTTCGCATTAATGAATACATTTTGATCCCTTTTTGCTATATTTTGTATTTTCATTACATTTTAAAATCTGTGTTTTGAGTTATCTTTCATTGTTTCAAGTGAACTTATACTTATGTGACGTTTTTTCGGGCCATTTTTTCGACTTTTTCAATTTTGCCAAATTGAAGAAATGGTAGCGGTCTCAAATGGTATTCATTAATTGACAATCCGAATTAGTATTTACTTCAATCGTATCCTGTTCAGTCCATATCCACAGTTTTCGAAAAAATTCAAAATTTAAAGTGAACTTGTAATTATGTTACGCAGTGTAGTTTAAAAGTGTTCAATGAAAAGTTGCAGCAACGTTGAAAGACCCAGACCGTGTAGCTGGCCGATTTGTTGCTGTAGTTGACCATTCTCGTATCCCTATGGCCATCTTTCTGAGCAAGTCTGAAAGTAAACATTTTCAAAAAAAAACTTTCCGCCAAGCACTCATACACATAACAGCTTTTCGATAGTCTTGAACAACATAGAGTACAATTATTGCATCCATAGCAGGGTATAAAGTAAAACCGCACAAAAATGTACCAGTTGGAATATCCCAGTCCATATCAAATAACGGGAGATAGATAATGAAGATTACTGGGGAAAACAAAGTGATAGTAGGAGTCACAACTTGAAGAATCAGTGTTTTAAAGAACTGCTTGTGTAGTGCTCTCAAGGAAGGTGACAAAATCTGAATCTTGTCTTCCATGTCAATATACATCCGAATTGAGCAGTATACAATTACACTATACTGGACCACCATTATAAATGTCATTGTAATGGTACAAAACAGGTTCCACCATCTAGGCGACCCATCTGGATAGTAAGCTACACAAATTATCCAGGCGTTGTTTGAAAATTCAACACCATATCTCTCCATCATCATCTGCTTCATATAGCTTTCAGCATAGTCGTCGACTTTTGTAAAATGATAATTTGCCATTGCCCACATCAATCCATAACTTAGAACGTAGTAAAACCACATGCCAAACCTCCATCCCTTGAAATACCGCAGCTTGGTTGTGCTGAAACGTACTGGAAAAATTTCAAAAATGAGAGCGAGTCATACCAAAAAACGGCCCAATATCTATATAGAAACTGAACAGATAGCATGGAAATCGTTGATGAGTAAACTCCGCTGTAAAATGCTAGCATCCAAGTGACCGCGGTTTTTCCCAAATTGAATGGATGGCTGGTACTGTAGAATACGTAGCCAGCTTTGTGAGAATGCACATTCTAAAATTAGTCTCTAAAAATAGTGCTTCATAGCCAAGCTTGTTACCGGATACAAAATGAACTCAAGAACGGCAAAAAGTATACCCAAACTTGGGAAAACTATTAAAAAGTGTTTATAGCTGCCAAAGTTTCGTTTTACACCAAAAATTGTTAGAATAATAAGAATCAGGCAGCAAATAGTTGTTGAGAACAGTCCGGTTTGTGCAATCCGGCGTGCGTATTCGACATAACGGGTCAAAGATACGGAGGGCATAATTGATAGCGTCTTCGATACAGAAACGGAGGAGTTGAGGGTGTAACATCGTCTTCCCAGGGGTTCCAAGTTCCGAGAGTAGATTCAAAACATGCAATAATACAAACATCATACAACACATGTTCCCATCACGAGATGTATGTACCAAAAAATAATATTATGTTCCGAATTGCTTGGAACCGTCTGGTCTATATAAAACTTTAGCGCGTAATTTTCTCAAGAGGGTTTTGTTGGCCTCATTATAATAAATGAAGTATGCGTTTCATTACGAACGTTTATAAGCCGGGGAAAAACGTGTCATAAAATGAATGAGATACATGTTTTACAATTGCGAATAGTTTGTTTCGTGTTAAATCAATTTTGTTATAACAAAAGTTTATTGGAAATACACATCAATTTGAAATTGGAGACTTTTGCCTCAGACACAGAGTCCTGAGGCGTATTCGCAGATTGTCGGATCAGGGCTGGTCGTAAAATTGTTTCAAACGGAATCAGTAAAACGTAAAATTTACGGATTGAAAAACCGCAAAATCCGTAAAAACCGTAAAATTTGAAAAATTACTGTTTTCGGCAAGCAATACCTATTTTTCAAGTTCGGCGCTTATTTAGGTATGTAACTTCAATTCAATAATTCGAAAAACATGCATTGTCACATTTGTACCACCAAAAATCTCAAAACTCCACTTCTGAGCAATGATAAAATTTTGAAAGGCATTTTTCGGCCTTTTTAAAAACTTTGGTACTGTGTGACAATGCATAACTTTCCAATTATTGAATTGAAATTTCGCAAAGATACATATCTGAAATAGCGCCAAACTTGAAAAAAAAATAGGTTTTGCTTTCCAAAACCAGTCAATTTCCTGATTTTACGGTTTTCACGGATTTTACGGAAACAATTTTACGGAGATCCGTAAAATTTTACGGTTGTCTCAAAATTCCGTAAAATCCGTAAACGTAAAATCCCAGCTCTGTGCCGGATATGGGCTGGCCAAGCAAGTAGCTCCTTGTTGGTAGATTTTTTGGTGTAAGATGCTTTCTCTGAAAAAAAGTATCGTTTTCTCAAACTAAGATGGAAGAGACTTACCGGTTCTTATATAGACAAACAACAACACAACGTTTCATTTCATTTTTTGAGGGGTCATTTTTGCAAACCACAAACAACACATTATGTAAACTGTAAAAAATTGTGAAATTACGGGTACTTTAAGCGGGATCTGAAATTCCGGGTACTTTAAGCGGGATCCATGAAGTTTAGCCCCGAAGGTCTATAAACCGACTGATAATATAAAAAAATCACATTCGGTATCTTCCAACACATACAGAAAGTTTGAAAGCGAGACTTTTTCCTCAAACACACAGTCCTGAAGCTTCCTCGCACTTTGTCGGCGATGAACAGGCCGAGCAGGTGTCTCCTTCTTTGTAGATTTCTTCGTTATAAATGTTTCCTCTGGAAAGAAGATTTGTTTGATCAAACAAAAATGGATGAGACTTGCCTGGTCTCGTATAACCAAACCAAAAAAACGAGCCTTAATCTTTCCGCCGATGAATCTGGCCCGCAGTCTCTGATGGCACAACCCACGGATCTAGTCTTAGCCCAAACCATTTGAGTGGCATATATTATTCCAGGTCCTATTCTAGTGTCGGTTGTGGAATTATCAAAAATGTTTGACGCACATCCGAAATCTTGGAACTCTTTCTCCCATTTGTTGGCAGCACGAACCCCACACGACAAAATAATCCAATGATTCGATTAGATTCCATTTGTAATAGACGTTCGCTCCAACTCTACTGACACTAGAAAACCAATCTGTGCAGGAGTGAGAATAGATTCGAGCTGAAGCTTCAAGAGAGTAGTCCCACTTCTTAATAGTAAATTATTGCACGGCGATTGTTAGAGTACTTACTATTTTTAGAATATTCGCTCCACGTGGTTTAGTTATTTCATTGGCGACATAGGTACCTTTGGCAATTGAAGATCTTAGAGTGTTATGAGCATCCACAATTTGTTGTCTAGCAGTTTCGCTAAACTGGGCAAGACTGCATGCAATGAGAGCAGAGAAGAGAAGAACAGCCTTCATTGTGGAAGAATGATGGATTCTGCGAGACTCTGTCTTCTTTACACACATGCTCTTACGACCTTGTCATCTCAAAACAACAAGGTCAACCTTTGGTATTACATTGACAAAAAAAATCAGGCAAGTTTTCAGCTTCGACGGAAAAACAAAGGTTAGATTGACCAGAGCACCAAAACAATTTAGTAAAGGGCAACTCTTAGTTTTGAGGCTGGATAGCAGTGATAGGAGCAGCGGAATAACAAAGATCAGAAAATTGTTTTTTGTATAATCATTAGAATAATAATGTCAGACACATCTGTATCCAAATATTACATTCCAATCCGAAGCACTGAAAGCACTGATAAAAAATATTTCACTGTTTAAAAAGGTTCATGATAACAAACTACTCAAGAAAAAAATGAAATTTCATTCTCTATTCGTTGTCGTTTTCCTTTTACATCAGGGCCAAACAGTTCATGCTGTGTGCCAATTTACACCTTTTCAAGGATTGAATTATACTGTAAGATGAACTAGAATTTCTTAAGACCAATCTGGAAATGTTTCAGTTAATTTCTACTAACGCCGATTGGGATGCTTCGAACGCTGCTTGTATCGCTTGTGGCGCTCAGATGATGGGAATGCCGTATAGAGACAATACGACTTTTGTAGAGCGTGAGTGGTTCAAATTTTTATTTCCGAAAGTATAGAAGTTCCAGGGACCCTTGGAGCGAATACGGGTTTTTGGGATACAGCGTGGGTGAATATCCGAAATGGCAGCTACTGCTATTTTTACACGTTCAAGTCTGGCGCAAGGTATGGAGCCGACTGCTCCACAAATGCGAAATATGTTCTCTGTGTTAAATGAATTTTGTGACATTAAAATTTTATTCAAATTACAAAGAAAGTTTGAAACTGGCTTCGAAATCTTCAATACAGTGCATTTGGAACATTAGCAGTTTGACTACGACTTTCCATTGGGTTTCCGTAATTTCTGACGAGCCATTCGTACAGTGGGCTCGCAAGTTTTCTCAGTGAGTCTAAAATTCTGATATTCATTGTTCTAATATTCCTAGCTTCTCACATTTTACTGCTCTTCGATAGTCCTGTACAACGTACATAACTATAATGGCATCCATAGCTGGGTACAATGTGAAGGCACATAAAAAGATTCCAGTGGGAAGGTCCAGTTCAAGATTCAGCATAGGAAGATGAATTATGGAAACCACTGGAGAAAACAAAGTAATCGTTGGGGTGACGATTTGAAGAACAAGGGTCTTGAAAAACTGATTATGTAAATTTCGAAGCGATGGAGACGGAATTTGAAGTTTCTCTTCCATGGATAGATACATTTGTACGGCACAATAAATGATTATAGTATATTGGACCAACATTATTGAAGTTAAACTCAAAGATAATAGAAAATTCCGCCATCTTATTGAGCCATCAGCGTTATACGTAACGAGGATAATTGCAGAAATATCCGATATATTCAAGTTGTATTTTTGTTTCATTCCCAATCTCATATAATTTTCAGAATAATCATCTCTTTTTCCTAGAGAGTGTACCGATAGACACCAAAGGATTCCAAAAAACAGCGCATAAACCATCCAGATGAAAAACTTCCATCCTTTGAACAATTTTAGTTTTGTCGTGCTACAATTTCAGAGAGTTTGAACTAGAAGACTCTGAACGAAATCTTACTGAAAAACGGCCCAATATCTATACAAGAACTGAACGGATAATAGAGAAGTTGTGCAGGCGTAAACTCCGGTATAGAAGGAAATTAAGCATGTTACGGAGTCTCTGTCCAAGTAAAATGGATGGCTGGTACTGTAGAAGACGTAGCCAGTGTTATGAAAGTAGACATCCTGTAACTTGTGAACAGGTGAAACAAATGTGAACTTTTTTGGAATTACCGGGTAGATAAGAAACTCAATAGACGCGAAAACAATTCCACACGCTGGGAACACTATCAACAGATATTTGTAGCTCCCGAACTTTCGTTTCAAGAAGAATGTGGTTAGAATTATAATGAGAAAACAGAAAAATGAAGTTGAGACGAATCCGAGTTGCGCAACATTCCGCGCATATTGAGCGTAACGGGTATACGGACCGGGGACCATTTTTGGTGGGAGAATTATTTGTGCTTTGGGTTGATGAAAGGAAAATAGTAGTAGCGTCGAAGGAACGTGACTGTTGTTTCCAAGACCGAAGTCTAGAGTGTCGTGTTCTCAGGAGAGTTGGAATCAGAAAAAAGTAGATGATCGAAAATGAAAAACACCATGGAGTAGATGTTGCTTCGGGGCTTAATTAAAGTTAAGACAATCTCTGGATGGAATTAACTCTCGAATCTCTCAATTTATTCAATTTCTTGCTAACAAACAAAACTCTTGAATACGGAAGACCATTCATTCCTTTAACTTTTTGGCCATCACTGATTTTCCAAATTTCCTCAAAATTTACAAGTGACAGAAAATTTGTGTATAAATTTTGCTACTTTTTTGAAAGGTATCCAAAAGATGCACTCATATTGGATGCATTTTGATTTGATAGATTTGAGAAAAGGTAAAGTTTCGGAAAAACGCCAAGTTGGCCAAGTCTTGGACAAGTCATGCCTATCTGTTGTCCAGCACTTGTCCTATTTCCGTTATACACCCCTTTTTTTGACAAAGTTGCTTTATGATCTCTGCCGTCACCTAGCTACACACACTTTCTTCGTGAATTTTGGAATATTAAAAATTCTTGTTGACAACCTTTATGTCATGTAATTGCTACTTCACTTAGTCGAAAAACTCAGCTGATTTCCAACTTTCATCTTTCTCTTTCTTCAACTTTCAAACATGAAAATTCTATATATCCTTCAAGTTTTCTTGATTAACTACAGTAACCAAGACATAGCTGAAAGCCTCAAACACGTTCTGAATAGTTATAAACACGGTAAGTAGTTTTTTCCGAGTTTTTTTCAATTTTTCATTTGCTAGTTTCCGACCCAAAATGTGTGTTCAACTACACAGAAGTGAATTCCCGAACGATCAAGCATTTTCCAAAATGTGATGAGGTGTTTGGGATTTTGGTCATTAACGAGAATACGGATTTGGAAGTGTCACAACTAAAGAAGGCGTTCAGCAAAATGACAGTACTCTACGGTGGAATAAGAGTTGAATATTCGAAATTTGAAAATCTGAATTTTCTAACAGTGGATCAAGATGGATGGTTTTATATGTACTGTGAGACCTGTTAGTTTTTGGATACATTTCAAATAATAACACACTGCGTTTCAGATGGTGTCTACATTTGGAATAATCAGAATTTGACAGATGTTTATGGTTTATGGGATGTGTATTTGGCAGAGGATGGAGATGGGAGAGAGTGTGACTTTCGGATGGAGAATAACCCTAAATTGAATGCTGAGAACTTTTGCACTTATGGATCTATGTATATGTTCATGGATTTGAAAGTTAAAGGGAATATGAAAGATTGTGGTACGTGAATAAGGCGGCATTCCAAAATAAAGGTCCATTGAGATAAAAAAAAACTCCGAAAAATGTCATGTCTCACTTCTTTGAAAAAAACCCGAAAGTTCCAAAAAATTATTTTAACCAAAGAAGCTTCTTAGAAGTCAATGGACCTTCCTTTTGATGAACGGACCTTAATTTTTTCAAAGGACCTCCGAGAAGGCAGGGACTCTTATTTTAGGTCAGAGCCTTAAACTCTTATTGTTATCAAATATAGCCCTTATACAGTGGCGAGAAGTGGTGAGGAGAATTTTTCGAACATCCATAACTTTGTTCAAAATTGCTCAATTGACTTGAAAATTCGCATGAGAATAGCTGTAAAATCCAAAAACATTTTCAGTATTTTTTCTGGCTTTGATTTTAAATGTCAAATGATTCTCAGCGTCCAAATATGCACAAAAAAACGTTTTGAAGAACTTTGGAAGTCGGACTCTCGAGTTATGATGCTCAGAGCACAAAATGTGTGTATGTCGGCATTTTTGCCATAACTCGGCTGAAAATGTATTTTTGATGCTTAAAACTTCACAAATGATGTGTTTTAAGTTGTTTATCAGTTTTATGACAAAATTTTTTTAATTGCAGAAAATTTTTTTAAACATTTTTTTCACCTCTAGGGAAATTTTCTAAAATCTAAAAATGAGAAAATTTTTTTCTACAATTAAAAATGTTTTAGCATTAAACTGATAAACAGCTCACAACACATCATTTGTGAAATTTTGAGCATCAAAAATACATTTTCAGCCGAGTTATGTCAAAAATGCCGACATACACACATTTTGTGCTCTGAGCATCATAACTCGAGAGTCCGACTTCCAAAGTTCTTCAAAACGTTTTTTTGTGCATATTTGGACGCTGAGAATCATTTGACATTTAAAATCAAAGCCTGAAAAAATTCTGAGAAAAGCTTTTTTTGGATTCTCTGACCACTGTTACATCTGAAACTGCTCTGAAAATGCTGAAAACGAGAAATTTTCAAAAAACAGATTTTTATGTTTTTGGATTTTACAGCTATTCTCATACAAAATTTCAAGTCAATTGAGCAATTTTGAACAAAGTTATGAATGTTCGAAAAAATTCTCCTCACCACTTCTCGGTCACTGTACATTGTGAGAACCCTTCTAACAGAGGTTTTATGGGAACTTGAACATTCTATCATTTTCAGGATGTCAAGGAGATGAGCTCACCCAATCCTCCTTCCCCAACTACAACAATTGCACAAAACTTTTTAGCGGATTTCACTTGGACAACCAAACGATGGTAAATAACTTGGACGCGTTGTCCAACCTCGACACCATTAGAGGAGGAATCGACATCCATAATGCTGGAGTTACTAACTTATCCTTTTTTGGCAATTTACAAATTATAGAAGTCAATAATGAGATGGATCACGAGAAACTGATTTTAAACATTGCCGGGAATGCGCTTCTAGAAAAGTTGGCGATTCCATATCTTAGAGAATTGTCGAACTCGAAAGATGGTGTTAAGCTAGCTAGGATCGAAAGGAACCATCCGGATTTCTGTCTTACGATTGAAGAAATCGCTTTCTTTTTGGAGAATCATGTGTTCTTTGTGAGCCTGGAAATGAAGTTGTGCGAGGATACGCGGACTAGAATATCCAATATAAATGTTTGTCGTTATCGATCGATGAAGAGCTTAGAGGAGAATTGTAACTTGATAATTGGAGACATAATTATCAACTCTAGGGATGAAGAATATATTCATAAATTGTCAAATGTGTTATACCTTTTTGGATCGCTAGCAATTCAAAATACAACACTTGATCGTTTGGACTCACTTTATAATCTCCGTTATATTCTACACTTGAATAATCCCAATCCGATTTTTCAAATAGTGGGAAACAAAAAGTTGAAAGAAGCTCGCTTAGTGGATGTTGAGGTTGGTTTTCTATTGCGCGCCAGTGCTATTTTTCATTTTCAGAACGTGATCACCAATGGCAATAGAACGGCTATTTTCCAAGGTAACCATCCAGATCTATTCCAAGATGGCGGAGGTGACTGTAGATTATTTGACGGAATGGATAACGATGAGACCAACTATAGATTGCGTTTGGATTTCATTGGAGGAGATTGTGGGGAGGAAGTGATGATTGTTCATCGATCATCATGGCGAATTCAGATTTTGGTAATTTTCACTTTTGTGATTTCCAGAATGTTATGATCCGTTTTTTTTTTGCTTAACCTTCGGGTCCCTGATCCTAAACGTCCCAAAGCGACCATCTGTTGCCCAGCTCTTGTCCTATTCCCGTCATTCTCCTAATTGGTATCCGCCTTTACCTAACTAAACACACTTGCTTCTAGAAAATCGAATAACTTAGGATTCATGTTTATACCTTGATGTCATGTAATTGCTGTTTTCTGAGTATAAAACTTATTTCTTGATTTTCAATTTCAAACGTTTTCACTTATTCAACTCCAGTTCATAAATGCGCTTAATACTTTTGCTTCTCTCAATTTCTCAATTTCACTACAGTACCCAAGACATTGCGGAATACCTGAAGCACGTCCTGGATTACTATAAAAGTAGTTAAACATTTTTTTTAAAACTTCTTCATACTTTTTCACAGGTGCAAGCCCGGAATGCGTTTTCAATTATACAGAGGTTAACTCAAAAACGATAAAATATTTTCCACAATGTGCTAAGGTTTATGGAATTATTGTCATAAATGAAAACACGGGTTTGAAGAAATCACAACTGGAAAAAGCGTTTCAAAACATGACATCCCTCTATGGTGGATTACGAATCGAGAATTCGAAAATGACGAATCTCTCATTCTTCCCCGCAGCTCAAAATGGGTTGCTCAAGATAATCTGTAAAACATGTAAGTTTCAAAAATATCTGAAGTTTTGAAGCTTTAAACATTTTCTAGATGGCGTCTACATACAGAACAATCAAAATCTAAAAGATGTTTCAAGCTTGGAAAAAATGTACATGTATGAAGATGAATTTGGAGAAGAATGTGATTATCGAATCGAAAATAACACAAAACTAGACGCAGAAGACTTGTGTGATACTGGATACCCACGATTTTTCATGGACCTCAAAGTTAAAGGGAATATGAAAGATTGTGGTAATTTTCAATGTTTTTTTAGTTTTGTTATTTAGTTTATAAAGGAACTCATCGAAAATGGCAAAACATTCGCCTTATGTGTTTCCTAGGACATTCACCATGATGGCCTAACATTCGATTAAAGCTTCCATGCGGTTAGGAAATTCAGCCGACCGACCGGCCACCGACCGAGACTACTGAGCTGACCGATCGGACGGCTGTCGGTCGGCTGAGTCGGTGGTCGATTGGCGTTCAGCGATTTTCGACCGACCGAAATGGAAGCTTTACATTCGATTGGTCAATTTTATAAAATCGTAAAATTCGTAAAATTCGTAAAAAATACTGTATCATCTAATTAAATGGAAAAAAGCAGCAGTTTTATCAATAAGTTATTGAGAAATGGTGTGCAAATGTTATAAACCGTAGAATCGAATGATTTTCTTGAGTTTCAACAATTTTCTGAATTTTTTTTTCTGAATAATTCGAAATTGGGAAAGGAGCCTTCAAAAACTTGACCAAAATAGTTTGAAAATAACGAAAATTCGTGTTCAAAAATGAGCGTTGTGGGAAAGATCTTCTCAAAAATAGAACAAAAACATGATAATGGATCTAAAGACTGCTAATTTTGGACAAAAAAAACGGCAAAAACGCTCATCCAGTTTTTACGAATTTTACGGAATAAATTTTACGACACTCGTAAAATTTTACGAATGCCAAAAAACACGAAAATCCGTAAAATTCGTAAAATTCGTAAACGTAAAATCACATCCCTGTTTACCATGGTTGCCCAGCATTCGAACGGTCAGTATTCTAGTCCACCAACTTTTATAGCCGAAAAACTGCCTGATACCTTACGTGGGATTTTTCAGATTTTTCCAGGCTTAGTAACAAAAAAAATAAACAAAAATGAGCAAAAAATGACCTAAACTGAACTTTTCAAAAATTATGGAAAGTTCAAAGTTTGAAATTTTTATGGAAACAGTGACAAAACTTGATACAATCGGTAAATCTCAACTTCCAAGGGAAGTGTTTTCAGACGGGGGTTGAGAATTTACTCAAAATTTTAGTACTTATAGTTTGAGACTAATTTTTCAAAAACAATTCTAGATGATAGAGAAATGTTCAAAAATGAGGTTCGCATTCGAGAACATCATGAAAAACAAGTTTTAAAGCTCGGAAAATGAACGTTTTTGGTCCAAGTTTAGCACTGAAAACACTTTGAGAGCCCATATCTCGATTCCTATTGGATCCGGGGATGAGATATTGCTGAAACCGTTTTCAGCATGTTCGAAAGTACCTTTTCACAAAATTTGAGCAAATTCTCAACCCCCGTCTGAAAACGCTTCCCTTATTAGGCATAATTTTCTACTTGCCCCCCCCCCCTTTGATAAAAAATTCAAAAATGATAAAAAATTCCAGGTTGTCAAGGAGATGAAATCATTCATTTATCCTTACCAAACTACAAAAACTGCACGAAACTTTTCCGTGGATTAAATTACGAGAATGAAATAATGATTAATAACCTAGATGCCCTGTCTAATCTCGAAGTCATCAAAGGAGGTATCAATATTCAGGACAGTGGTGTACATAATTTATCGTTCCTCGAGAATCTCACAAGCTTAAAAGTCAACAATTTGATAGTTGGGCAGAAGCTGATTTTGAATCTTGTTGGCAATGTAATATTGGAGAGATTGGCGTTCCCACATCTTCCAGAATTGAAAAATATGGACGGCAAGGGAGTTAAACTAGCCAACATCAAATTCAACCATCCAAGTTTATGTCTCACGATTGAAGAATATTGCTTCTTTTTGGAAAACAATGTGTCATTTATCCACTTGGACACCAAATTATGCAAATATACCAAAAATGAAACATCTACCATGAACATTTGTCGTTTCCAATCGATGAAGGAATTAGAGGATAACTGCAATTTGGTTATTGGAGACATAATTATGAAGTCAGGGGATGAAGAGAATTTTCAAAAACTGAAGGATCTAGTATACTTGTTTGGGTCGCTGGTCATTGAAAACACAACTATCGAAAATATGGAACCACTTGATAAGCTTCGTTATATTCTTCACTTAAATGGTTCGAACCCAATTGTTCAAATAGTCGGGAACCAAAAACTAAAGCGAGCGTATCTTCCTAGTGTTCAGGTTAGTTAACTTTTTACATTAATTTTAAAGGAGTTGAGATATCCAAACTCGCGACTGTGTAGCTCATCAATACGGTACCCCTAAAGTATACTTTATTTTGATACTCTTGGGAGTATAAGCTATTCAACCTTCCATATATTTTTTTTACAGAACATAGTTGTTAACGGGAATCGGACGGCCATATTCCAGGATAACCACCCGGAATTTTTCAAAAATGAGGAAGGCTCATGCAGTTTATTCGAAGGAGTGGATAGCGATGAAAGCAAACTCAGACTGCGTTTGGATTATATCGGAGGAGATTGTGGGGAAGAGGTGGTCATTGTTTATCGATCATCATCGTCGAAACTTTCTGTTTTAATTGTGTTCAGTTTTGTAATTGTGCTACATTTTGTAAGCGTTCATTGTAACAATTGATATTATCAAATCCGTATTCTAAAACAAAAAACCCTATAAACTATCACAAATTTTTGTATAAATTGGTCGAACGTATTCAATCCCATGAGCTGATAAATGTAGAGGTGTCGTAAAATATGAAAAGCCTCGAGTATCAAAATACTGGAATGCGTTCATTGTCTTGTTCCAGAAGGCGTCCACGTAGTCAATTAATTCGCATTTCGATCCGCATTCTTTTAAAAGCTTTGCATGTCGATGACGTCCATGTTCAAAGCCAGTCGGATCATAGAGAGAATTCTGAAAAAAGGTTTTAGATTAAATGAGAAACGGGCTCCAATTCACAGTTCATTTACTCATCATTCTTATAATGAATAAATGAATTTGCGTCTTTTTTCCCAACGATCATAAGATCCGGTCCCAACGGTCCTAAGAGCGGTCCCATCCCTCCGAGCATGGTCCCACGAACCTTGCCATGGCCCCATATTCCTCATCAAGGGACGGAACTGCAAATTTGATGAGGTTGAAGGAATGGGACCGATGTTACTTCTTTAGGATCTCTTTTCTGGGATAGACCCAAAATTATTACTTTAGACTATGACGTTTTAGGGGCGGAGCCTAAAAAAAGTAAATCTACAAAAACGCCTTTTAGTTCTATTTTTCAATCAAAAGTCCGCCCCTACCCACTCACGTTAATTTCCTCCATTGTCTTCTTCGCCGTTCTCATCTCTTTCACTATATTTTTTAAATTTTCCATATTTGCTCTTGGAAAGGAATCCAGAATAAACAATTTCCTTTTGATATTCGGTAGAATTTTTGCCAATTGACTTTTCATTTCCAGATAAATTGTATCGTTTTCCAAATGGTTCTCGTCGATTTCATACGGTTCTCCGACAGCGTACCACCTAAAAATTAAAGGTTTGTTGCAGAAGAACGATTGGGACGTTTGTCCTATTATGAGATCGTTGTCCTTATAATGGGACCATCGGTCCCAGAGAGCTACCTCGGTACGATTCCTCCGACCATGGTCTCAGCCACCAAGCCATAGTCACATCAACCATGCCATGGCGCAAAACACATTCTTTAATATTCAAAATTACAGAATCAGAGTCTAAAAATTAATTAGGATGAGACCATGAGAAGGTTGATGGGCACTCTTGTGATCGATGGTAACTGGGTGTTTTTTGGGACAGCTAATCCCATTATGGGACCGAGGGTCTCAACATGGGACCACCCTTACGGGTCAGACCCGAAACTCACAAACCTCGTCAAAATAAACGCATAATTCGGCTGCGTCTCATTCACAAACTCTATGAACTCTCTTAATTTATCTTTACACTCTCTTGCCCATGCAATCGACATTCCTCCATTATCGACTGGTTTTCTTGGAGCTGCCAATGGCTCGCATCCTGTTTCGTGTTGCAATGAGATCATTTTTACACGATGTTTACATTCTTGAATTATCATTTTGTGATGATTCTTCGCGTAACTATTTCCAAGTAAAGCGATTTTGAATTCAGTTCCATTTTCTTTAAAATCACACCACCATCGATCTCCGCGCCGTTTGATACACCCAGGCTCCTGGAGTTCCGCAGCCATATGATCATGTTGGTTCCAATACGTGTTTAGCCTCTCAGCATCATCTGAAAACTTTAAATGAAAACTGTAGTAGTAGGGCCCCTCTAATAGAAGGGCCTTGTTTTACCAAGAGTCATATTCATTGTAACTCCATCCAACCGTGGAAATTTGCGCTCTGGCGACCTGAATTTGATTTTCAAATTTTCAAATGTTTATTTCGAAAAAAGTGAACTTACAATGGAACCACTTCAGTGTTCTCCATTTGTTTCGAAATCTCCTCTTTTTTAATCATAACCGCCGCCAAACAGAATAGAGTCAAAATCAATGTAAACACTATTGCATTTGATTGTTTCAGGTACCACTTTTCATAAGTCTCATGAACCAACACGGCCAACACAATGGAGAGCAAACACGCTCCAGTGAGAATCCAGTAATTTTCTTTATATACAAGTTTGAAAAATGCGTAAACCGCCCAGTGAATAAGATATAATGCATATGAAATGTCTCCAAGATAGATCAAGAATCGAGAATTTAGAATATAATTTGCAGCCTCGATTAGGATCAAAAGTCCAGTTAGTATTTTGATGAAGGGTCTGGAAAAATTTACATTTACCTTCAAACTTGCGATGATAGGCTAGCTGAATTTAAAGCTGGGGGCATAAAAAATTATCTGAATTCAGTCCAAAATCATTTTTCTAGCTCTTCTGGAATCCGAGTTATATCGATTTTGTGCTTACAAAGCTAGAGACGCAGACAGCGAGACACTCTAACTGTGTTCGTCACTTCAATACTTAAAATGACTGTATCTTGGATTAGGGGTGAGCTAGACTATTGATTTTTGGCCTAAACTGGAAAAAAAACAAACCTGGACCAAGTAAAATCCAAAACCGCTGGAAACCATAATACCATGATCGCCAAAATCAGCATAAAATACTTTACATATAGTAAAACTGAAGAGCTCTCGGATCTCGTAATTTTTGGTTCCGGATCCTCAGAACATTCTTCTAGCAATCGTCCTCTATCCTCGTTTTTCTGCTCCACTCCAGGAGATAATTTGCACAGTTTTGCGGAATGGTTTAGCATAAAATACGTCAGCATTCCGAATAAAAATTGCCAGATTCTAGCAAAAACACTATTAAATGATGTTAGTGGAGGTGAGAAACTGTGGAATGCAAAAGAGCAAAGTGCAATAACTGCATAGATCATATACTTTGTAACTTTTTTAAATTGATGACCAATTAAAAAAAATAATTGGGGCAATTAGATAAAACTGAATTTCCACGGACAGGGACCAGGTATGCGTGAATAAATCGAGTGCTAGAGACAGCTGAAAATGGGAGAAAATTTTTTTAAATGATCCTATGACCCACTTTCTCAAAATACTGTTCATCTTGTGTATGAGGTCTATTCGAAACTAATAGCAACGCCTTCCAAGCCGAATCTTGGTTTTGTACAATTGCAGTGTCCGGAAATACTGTGTATAGTGCCAGAACAGTACAAAATAAAAAAAAGAAAGTAGAGTGGTAGGATTCGTTTCAACCGGCGTCTATAGAACTCGACAACTATGGCGAACATTGGTAGTTTTTGAGATCTGGTGAGTAGCATGCACATAAGAAAACCCGAGAGAACGAAGAATCTGGAATTATTGAATTTTAGTTTAGTTCATTTCAAAAATGACTCACTGATCAACACCTAAGTAACCGTTTGGGAATAGTTTTGGGTAAAAATGAAATCCCAGTACTGAGAGAATGGCCAAACCACGGATTCCTTGTAAATCATTTCGTTTTGAGGTGGTCATGGTCTGTAAATGTTGTTCAGTTCACTTTTTATTCAAGAATAGGCTTTAGAATCCAAACTTTAAGAGAAGCGGACAAGAAAAATAGTTTTTTTTGGAATTTTGTTCATATAAGCTCCTCGAGGAGCTGAACTTGTGAGCCCAACTTTGGAGAGGTCCGCTACAAGCTGACGGTACCCGGAAGCTGAGCAGTCGTTTCAGAACAACAATCAATGTACACTGTCGCGTCAGAATGCACATCTCCAAACACACAGAAACTATTTTAATTCTCAAGATTTCAAAAACTACCATGAATCTCTATTACAGTTGACCGGTAAATTTGATCTCATTTCTGCGAAAAAAAATGTTGACAGACAAAATGTTTTAAACATTTTAATGAAGTAGCGAACCGTGTTTTGGCTTTGAAAAATGTTCATGAAGTGCATACTCATTCGAGGTGTTGCAATTTTTGAAGAAAATCCAATTATCAAACTTTTGCTCTCTTATCAGTCATATGGGTGTGTCATTCGTGTGTTGGCTATGATATCAACTGAATTTTCAATGAAACAGAACTAGGAAAATTGGATTAAACATTCTGGAACTCCAGCAGACACTAACAAAACAAAAAAAAAAGAAAGATTTATTGCTTCACCTTTTGCTCCCAGACATGTGCCACCCAGTCACACATCCATGCGCTTAGAATACGTTTTCCGAGAATTTTTGTTTCCCGAAAATCTCGCAAAATGAAGAGTCCAAAAAACCAATGCACTTATGTTGAAGAGGTCATGTATGCCTAATTTATGTGTACACAGGTGAATCGCGCAGAACACTATATGGGCGCATTGTGGCCCATACTGTGAATGTGCGCATATAGCGTTCGTTATGCCCGCTATATGGGTTGGTGGTTGCTGGTCGGTGGTGGTGGGCGTTCAGTTAACAGGGAAAGCATATGCCCCGTCCGTGCTCGCATATAGGATCCATATTCCGTAAACACTCTTATACAATGTCTCTCCGAACCGTTAGCTTTGAGCCTATATATCTGGTTTCTTATAAAAGATATCAGAAAGTGGTCAACTGACAAAATGTGTATTATGATATCAAAAGCATTTTGTCAGTTAACAACTTTTCAATATCTTTCACGGGAACCCAGATAAACTGGCTCAAAGTTGAAAGTTAAAAGGGAAGAAGTGGGCCATTCTATTAATGTGTTCATGGAAACCTGTTAGAACATTTATTTACAGAACAGGACAGTAATACAGAATACAATACAGAATACAATGTAATACAGAACATGTAATTGTTTTTTGCAGAAAGAACAGCTCGAAACTCTCTTCTTGATATTCTCAGGATAAAATTTTTGGTTCTCAACAAATTGTATGTATGACTGTTTGACTATCGAAAAAAACGGTTAAAATCATAGTTTACCAAGAAATTGCCCGCGGTATGTCCGGGGTATCAGGTTCCTGTGATAAAATAGAAGAAAATCAACAAGAAATGTAACAAAATCGGTTTATTATGAACAAGTTAGAAAGATACAACAAAATAAAAGCTTAGAATTCAAGCAAACTCACTTGAAATCCTTAAAAGTCTCTCGAACAACCACGAGCCAAATCCAAGCCCCCCCTCAAAAACTAGATTCAAACTGTGCGCGCGCCGAGCGGGATAGCGGAGTGTCGTTGCGTGGTTAGAGGGAACCTTTAGAAGGAGTTGGAGGGTAGATGCACCAGGCAACTAAGACATATGTTGCCTTTTGGAAAACATATATAGATGTTGGATTTTAGGCTTGGAACAAGAATTCCATTAAACTTGGTCGGAATTTTGTCTTTGAGAAGTTCAACATTTTCTGCAGGCCGTGTTGCGAGGTTTACTTCAAAAAAGCATGTCAAAATGCGGTTTCTATGTTAGCACAAATTGACCTGATGCTCTATCTGCTTCTTTTACGTGAAATTATTCTATATTTTCACATGAATCCGATTTTTTGGCCGATTTAATTGTGTAATTACGCTGAAGAAGTGCACAACGACGCTTCGATATCCCGCATCGCGCGTTGTTTACCGTAAATCTACACACAGATTTTCGATGAATTTGCAGATGTTTTTGCCTATTTTTGTTCGATTTTGTTTGATTTTATACGATTTCATCGGTTATTTTTCTACTTTTTTTACTTGCAAACTCATTTTCATTGTTTCTAGCCGTTTTCCTCAAGTTTCTATCAATAAATTCCACAAAAAAAGTTATTTTAGTCCAATCGATGGCTTTCAACACCTCGCTCGTCTACTTGAAGCTGAAAACCAGAAGTTTTCGATGATTAGCTACTGGTACGTAACATGCATTGCATTCAGTTTCTCAATGAGTTTATTTTTAGAATCGGAGTTCGGGATTCGGTGACGGCTGAAACCTTCACCTTCTGCACTGGCCACACGACAAGTGAAAGAAGCAGCACCGACAGAAAAAACGAAAAGGTTAGTGAATTTTGTGGTTGAAATGCTCGAAAATGTTTAGAAAAATAAAAACCTGCGAATTTTTTTGACTGAAGTTGCAATGAACATTCTACTCTTGTGGTTATGACTTCAGTCTTTCGGAGCTTTTGAAACATTATGATGAAAAACGTGCCAAAATCTGCTAGAGATACCGCTTCACACGAAATTCAGCGCTCCCCATAAATTTATAGGATTTGCACAAGCAGATTCGTTTTCTAAGTACTAGACTAAACAAATTTTCGGTGTGAATAAGTAAAATTATCGAAAATGTTCTAAGTCTATTCAGTTTTCATTCAGAAAAAAAAACAACCAAGATCAACTTCTCGATTGGATGGTCGCCTAATGGACGCAAAGAGGGAAAAAGGCAACGAAAAGATGGAGTTCAGCGAGCCAGGAGGCAAAATGTTTAATTTTTTCGCTTTTTCTTTTCTTTTATGTTTTTTTTCTCTTATTTTTTTGTCATTTTTATTAATTTTCAATAAATTTGTATTGGTGAACTCTATTTTCAGTTTACAGAGAATATTAGGACCTGGGGAGGGGAGGAACTGCTGCGCGGCGGCGTGGATCCTATATGCTTTGGTCGGCGCATGGATCCTATATGCTCGCACAATGCGCCCACATATGTTTCGTATTTCGAGCATATACAACACCGCGCGATCCCATATAACGTTCCTCGCGATTCACCTGTGTAGTTTGCATTTGTGATGAGGCGGTTTAGCAAGCCAGCAAAAAATTAGCTGTTCCCTCTTTTGCTGGTTTTCGAACTAATTTCACCTTTACAGAAAACTCATTAGTTTTAATCTTTTTATTTTACATGGTGACCTCGTTTGTATAGGTTCATTTTAATCCAACTAAATACTTTGTCTAAGTTAGTGGCTACACGACTTATGTCATATACAGGGTGGCTGAAAAGTATTGAGACACTTGTTTTTTGTTGTATTTTCAAAAATGGAGTTTCAACAAAAGAACCAGATTTATTTTTTCAACAAATGATAGTAATAGAAAAGATATCAGAGGAGATATTCGAAGTTTGAGCCTTCGGCCTTGATGCACGCCTTCAAACGAGCTGGAACAGAAGCGACGGTGCGCCGGAGGTAGTCATCGTCAAGATCATCCCATGCTTTGAGCAAAGCGGCCTTCAGTGAATCCACATTTGGGTGCGATCGAGCCATCACCTTTTCCTCCAAATATCCCCAAACGGAAAAGTCGAGTGGATTCAGATCGGGCGAGGAAGCGGGCCACATGTCCTTGCCCCAGTAGCCAGGGAAATGAGCGTCGAGAACAGCTTTCGTGGATTTCGAGCCATGGGACGGGGCCCAATCTTGTTGAAGAATGAAAGGTTGCTGGCCAAAGTGGCTAGTGACCCACGGACGTAAAACATCCATCAACACCAACTTTTGGTACACATCCGAGTTGATTTTCACATTTCTATCAATGAAAACCAATGGGACTTTACCTTCCGACGTCAATCCAGCCCACACCATCACTGACTTTGGAAAAAGTCTCTTGTAGGCCAGACGACGTTTTGGGGACTTTGCTTCGTCCTTTGACAACAATTGCCGAGCATTCTGTCGGTTCGGAAGCGGCTCAACCGTAAAAATTTTCTCATCAGTCCAAATGACTTCAGAGAGGCGGCGCACCTTGAGTGCGTCGAGCAACTTTTTCGCTTTTTCGAGCCGATTCTTCTTGGACTGTTCTGTGAGGTATTGGCCACGAAGGAGCCGATAACTGTTCAGACCCAAGTCCTTTTTCACAATGGATTGAACCGATTGTCTTGAGATTCCGAGCGATGAAGCCATTTGGTTCATGCTGACCGCATCATTTCGTGTGATTCTCTTCTTGATGATGCCACGAGTCCGGCGAGTGTTGACAGTACGAGGTCTTCCGCTTTTCTTAAGCTCCAACACATGTCCTCGATCTTTCAATTGTTGCACAACTCGATAGACAGTTGCTCTCGGAAGAAGAAGTCTTCGAGCGATGTCACCGGTGGAGATGCCGTCGTTGAACAGCTTGGCAATGGTTTGGCGATGAGGAGAAGCTCGCATAACTTCGTGAAGAGATAAAGTGATGGGAAATGGCTCTAATGTCGGCTTATATACGCTCCCTATTTTCGAAATAATACGAAACTTTTCGAAAATACGACTTGGCACGGTGCCAAGAGCCATCATAACAAGTGTCTCAATACTTTTCAGCCACCCTGTATATGGGTCAAGGCTTTATGAGCTCCTCGGGGAGTTGAACTCGTGGGCCCAATGTTGGAAGCACCAAGTTCTTAGGTTGCTGTGGCGCAGAGTTGCTCTGCCGCCATATATGAAAGCAGCACGAAATCCACTAATTGTCTGAATTGATTACTGTACACCATCATGTCAAAAGGCACTGTAGCTCCAAAGAAACCGAAAAATCATTTTTGACTTCATAAACTTTTGAATATTTTTGAGTTGAATGTTTAGTCAAACAACAAAAGTAATGGCATAATTACAACCTTCGTATTCTCCAGCATTTCGAATTTTCTCAAAATTCATGAATTGAAATTTTTCACAAAATTCAAAAATGAAAATTTCGATTTATTTTCTCTTCTCTATGTTTTTTTTATTTTCCTTCACCATTGAAAATAGAGTAGAGGATTATCAAATTAATGATATAATTATATCAAATGTGTCCGATAATGTAACTTGGCTCTCCAATGTCACTGCAATAAATGGAACAATAAATATCACGAATTCCGATATTCAAATTTTGAAATTTTTGAAAAATCTGAGAACTTTCGAATTCCAAAACCAGGGTTTTCAAGAGAAAATCTCATTCAATCTTCAAAATAACTCACAAATGACAAGATTTGGATTACCGGCTTTGGAGGTACAGTAATTGAAAAATATATGAAATCCCAAAATTCCGAAATTCTAAAAATCTAAAATTCTGAAATTCTGATATTCTGAAATTTTTAAAGTCTGAAATTCTGAAATTCTAAGATAGTGGAATTCTTAAATCCTTCAATTCGTAAATTCAGAAATTCAGAAATTCAGAAATTCAGAAATTCAGAAATTCAGAAATTCAGAAATTCAGAAATTCAGAAATTCAGAAATTCAGAAATTCAAAATATTTGAATCATTGAATTATTGAATTGTTGACTTTTTCTGGGATTCTATTTGTTTGAATTTCTGAAATTCAGATTTTCTGATTTTCTGAATATCTGAAAATTGTAATCATTTCGAGTTTTTTAAAAAGTTTTTTCCAGACAATAAAAAATACAGACTTCGCTACTATGGGTTCTGTCGAATGGGAGAAAGGACTTTTAATATTTAGGTAATTTCGAAAATCTTCACCCAGATTTTTGCCTAACAATCCAGGAATTTCTATTTTTTCTTGTAAGCAACGTCGCTTTCCACCATCTGCACTCTAAGATTTGCGAAGAAACTGGAGATTTGACCACAGTTTTCAGTTATTTTACAGAAGGGATGGCACTCTGTAAAATTGTTTCAATGAGTGTTTTACCGAATAACTGTTTGATTGTTGTTGGAGATATTCTAATCGATTCGGATAGTGAAAAACATATTCGGAAACTAGAAAGAGTTTCCTATCTATTTGGTTCCTTGACAGTGAACAGTACCTCGCTTAACAATTTGGACAGTTTCTACGCGATTCAAGCTATTGAATATTTTGGTAAAGTGTTAAAACAAATTTTGAAGATAATGTGATTTCCAGGTAACGGTCCAGTCATCCGAATAACTTCAAATAAGAATATGAAAAGTGCAAAGTTTCATACTTTAAATGTATTAATTAAAATCCAACAATTTTGAAATTTTCTTTTATACCCTTCAAAATTGAAGGGCATGGATTACAAGTTCTACAAAGGCAAAACGAAATTCTGAAAAAAAGTAAAATTTCAGTTTGATTCTTCAAGAGTTTCTGAAAAAAAGTATGAACACGATTTGGCTCCGTCAATCAAGATTTTTCAGTTTAAAGGTGCACAGGCGTCCAGAAATCTCATAATCGAGGGGTCCTAAAACTTCCCCAAAAATTTTCAGAACATCTATACACGGGACGGCGCCCGTGAGGCACTTATTCAGGACAACCATAAAGATATTTTCAAAGAACATAAAGAAAAGTGCAATCTTATTGAGCCTTCGGAAAAGTATTGGGTATGTCGAGCTAGAATGAAGTTCACCGGCGGAGATTGCGGTAGGTACTAGGTAGAAAGTTCTGGAATTTTAAGTAAACGTTTTCATTTCAGGGCAAATGGTAAATCTAACAGAACTGGATTTGGAAAGCTATTCGGAGGCATCTTTTTCAAACATAGGTTTTTTGATAATGGCTTGCTTTCTAGTTTTTTGGTTTCAATTTAATTGACTCATTTTCATAATTACAAATGTTTTTTAAACTGAGTTTTTTAAATCCGAAAAAAATCAGTATTATTTATATACATTTTTTGATATTTCTGGATTTTTGATGAAATGATACAAAAATTTGAAATGAAGAATTTCTTATTATAGTTCAATACAAAAAATATATACATATATACAGTACCGGTCGATAAGATGTACAAAAACATATTTTCAGTTGATATTTGGTCATTTGGACCATTTTCAGGAGCCTTGGAGCTTGGCAGTCAAGTTAATGATCACTTTGAGAATTTTGAAACCCGTGAAACAACCTTGTATTCGTTCGAAAACTCCCAGATTTTCAGGTATTTGCTGATCTCTGAAGGACGCTGGTTTTTCACGTTTTCAGTACGAAAACGGGTCCAATAGGGGTGTCTTTAAAGGTGGGGGGACAGAAGATTTTTCGGGAATTTTTTGGAGCCAGGGTGTGCATTCTACCGTGACGGTGTACAACGCTTAATGTCACTCTGTGAACAGCTGTCGTCCTCACTCTTATGTTTACCACCGGGCGCGCGCCCTCTTTTCGCCCGCGTGGCGCAGTCGGTAGCGGCCCTGTACCCCTGACCAGCTTGTCATGAGTTCAACTCCTCGAGGGGCACATTTAAACGAAATTTCAAGAACATTATTTTTTCATGTCCCCCCACCTTTAAGAAAACAGCGAATATCTGGAAAACTGGAAATTTAAAAAAAAATTAAAAATTGGAATAACCCCAAAATCTCCTGTTTCTGCTCCTTTAAAGAGTCTTTAATGATATATTAAGACCCCGAACACTTGTTTTGGTATCCTCTCTTGGCGTGTCTTCTCCCAGACAGACGAGAAATGTCTTGGCCAAACCGCTAAGGAACCCTGAATTCCGAAATTTTAAATAAATCTCCAAAATAGTTCCACCTACTCCCATAAGCCAGCTTGTACTCTGTAACCACTTTCAGCAAGATCAACGTGTCTGCCAATGGATAGGCGCCGAGCTCATAAAGCACTATACTTGAGTTGTAACTGAATTTGAAGTCAAAAAATGGAACAAGAACTGCCACAGAAACTGGCAGATGAAATAATAGCGTTGGTGCAGTTGTTTGGTAGATCAAAGCGTAGAAAAACTGTCTTTGAAGCTTTTCGAGAGACGTTGAAGAGGTTTTAAAATACTTGCTTGTTTTCCGGTACATATAAAGCCCACATATGATCATGATGGTGTAGTGGAAAAGCATAATTGTGCAAAGAATCAATACACAAGGCACGTTTTTCCATCTGAGCGTGTTTTCGTCATTCTGAAAGTTTTCGAACGGCTTATAAAGAAATTTAAGTCAAACTTACGAATGCTAAAATTGAAAAATAGGGCACTGATGTAATTTCCACCCCATAACTTTTCAGAATCACAGATCTCAAATAATTGTCGGAAGCCGAATCCGCAGATGCAAAATTCAGAGCAGATGCCCATATAGTAGAAATGAATAATGTGTAAAAAATTGAATATGACAGATTCCAGCCATCAAAACATTTGACCCAGTTGTTTTTTGATTTGGAAAGCAAACACGCTCTATAGACAAATTGAATAGTTAGAAATGTTAGGATTGATCCGTAGATTCCAGCATGGACTACTGAAGAAAAATACTGAAATTCCTGAAATTTCCTAGGTCACTCACGGAGAGAAATCTCTGAAATCGTCTTGGAGAATCTGAATGCGCAACCCAATGCGAAATACATGTAGCAGCCGTTGTAAGAGTGACACATCTGCAAGGCTGTTGAAAATAGGGCTCTATTTTTCGATTAGGGTAATTCAGGGATATGTAGGATCCTGCGGCCTAGAACGGTGAATTTAGTCCATGGCAACCTGCCCGCGACCTATCCGGCGGTTAACCGCGGCAGTGGTTCGGCATAGGGTGCGTGGTCAATATCACGTTAGTCAGAATTTCATGACTTTTTAAATAAAATGACTGTCAAAAATAGTCAAAAAGTCAAAAATAGTTTTTTCGTGACTGTCAAAAGTTTTGAAAAGTTGACTCAAAAAAGTCAAAAATGACTGGAAGAGTAACTGAAAACTCAAATAAAAATATATTAACAAGTAGTTCAGCAATCTCCACAGCCGCCGATCGGATTGATATCATAGTCCGACTCACCAAAAGCAATATGCTCGTCGACTTCATCATCATCAAATGCATCACCTTCGTATTCCTTATCTGGACTTGGATTTTCCCTCCACGCTTCAAGTTTCTCCATTCCCGATTTCGCTTGAACAAGCAGCATATAGTTTTCTTCTTCTACTCCTCTGTTTACTCCTCCTAATTCTTTTTTTCATGGCAACGACTAAAAAGTTCCGACGATGAAACCAGGGAATGGGAGGAGAGAACGGAATAAAAATTCTACAGTAATCTACGGTATCATGAACTGATAAAATGGAAAGAAATAAGCATCGCGAATTTTCGATCAACGAGTATACAAAAATATGGGCGACTCCCAAAGATGAAAATTTGTATGTTTGACATTGAAAAAATGGCTTCTAAACTTTTTGAAATGTGGGAATTTCTTTCTGGTTTCCCATTTCAGGGTACTGTAACTTTTTTGGCAAAAATCAAAGTCATTTTTTGTCATTTGTCAGTCATTTTTGCCAGTCACGTTTAAACTATTTTTGACTTTTTGACTATTTTTGACAGTCAAGTAAAAAGAATTCGACTCAAGTCGACTTTTCCAACTTCCAGTTTTTTGACTTTTTTACGTAACCAGATTTTCCATTTTTTGACAAAAGTCATGGACTGTCAAAAATGGTAGTGACCACGCACCCTATTCCGGCAGCCTTAAACGTATTCAGCTTACCGGCCTCACCAGCATGTCAGCCGTTGAAAAAATCATTCCAACAGAGGCAAAAACTACAATCATGTTTCGATATGTCCCCGTAATTTGCCTAGTGCGGTTTATGGTCAAACAGATGAGCATACTGTTGAAAAGTACAGTAAGAATATAGCAAACTCTGGAAAAGTATTCACCAATAAGAGCTAGAGGATCGAAGATCATAATGTGGTAATGATAAGAAAAAATTATATTGTTATGCTTATCATTATTATGTGGGTCGACAGAAATTTCCGGTGTAGGCAGAGAGGGGGGGGGGTTGTTTAGAAATTTCCGGCAATCCGCCTACGCATAAAAGGTGAGGGACACATCGTCAAGAAGTCTAATGCGAACTTTGTCAGACTAGTCAATAAACCTAGTGGAAGATTGGAAGTATTGTCTATTCAAAATAATCGCGCGGGTGAACGAGTAAAAATGTATGCGTCTCTACAGCGCCTCTACAGGTTAGGAGACTCTCTACACGTTTTTTTACTCGTTCACCAGCGCGATTATTTTGAATAGACAATACTTACAAACTTCCATTAGGTTTTTTGACTA